GTGGTAGTTGACTTTCAGCTACGGGCTCCCATGTGGGTGTTTGAGGAACCTGAAGAGTAAAATGTGTGTTGTTTTATTATATGTTGCAAATTAGATATTTGTTCGTGCATTAATGGGTTATTTAATTCTTTTTAGTTTTTAAATTAATAACTATTTACCTTGGGTGTCCAGGCGGCGTTACTTGAATCCCGCATATGTGTCCAGCGGGACCAGGACGTTCTGTTAGCCGACAAAGATGCGCTAAGAGCGGTCAGATTTAAAACTCCAATTCGAGGAGTCGCGGGCCGCAGCGCTCTCAAAGCGCCCGCTGCACATTTACAAAGCATGACAAAATCGCGTTCCTAACGGTGTTCAGTTGCTTTGCGTATAAAGTCGCATAAACAGCGATTTAGTCACGGTGTTGCTAAGGGCTCCTTACTACAAGTGCTCTAAAAGAAAGGATAGGTCTTCATTTCCGGAAGTAGATTTCAGACTACACGACACACGTTACCTTCTCAGAGGAGGATGGAACAATAGTATGCAAGAGCCCGGATAGCTCAGTCGGTAGAGCATCAGACTTTTAATCTGAGGGTCCAGGGTTCAAGTCCCTGTTCGGGCGAAAAGTCTTTTTTTTCAAATAGAACAAGAGGGTCTTTTTTCTTGAATTTATTTCCATTTATAGGGGTAGTTCACCCAAAACTGAAAACAATAACTCAACCTTCACTTGTTCCTAGCATTTACTTACTTTAATACTTCTTTTAAAAAGAAGATGTTTTGAAGAAAGCTGGAAACCTGCACTGTAAAAAAGCAGGGGTCCACACAATTCATTCATGTTGTTCCAACTCAAATCGATTAAGTTAACTTAACACTTTTAACAAATTTATGTAGATTGAACATAAAAAATTAAGTTGTCCCAATGAAATCTCAAGAATTGTGTTGTTTAAACGAGCAAAAAAAATAAATAAAATAATAATAATAAAATAAAAATATTTTTTTTTGAGCCTGTAGCCATTGACTTCCATAGCATTTGTTTATCCTCTTATGGACATCATGGTTACAGGTTTTCAGCTTTCTTAAAAACATATTTTGTGTTCTGTGTTCAACAGAAAAAATAAATAATTTTAACATCTATAACTCTTTAATGTGCCATGTATTACTTATGTTATTCATTATTATAGCATTGACAATAGGCATGGCACTATACCCATTTGAATGGTTTGAAAAAGTCAAGGTTTTAAAACCGCCAAAGTTTTCTGCTATACCGGTACATGCAAGTTGTTTTTTATGTTTTGTTTTAAGTTTTTTTAGGACAACCGAGTATCTAAATCAGAAAAGATCTGTGTTTTTGAAACTAATGCAGAGAGCACAAGTCAATTATTTATTTGAACTATTTAGCCTGACATGTTTACTGTTCCAAAATATTTTAAATGTTTCAAAGGGGAAACAAGTTAGTTAACAAGTTAGACATTTAAAAAGAATTAGAGAAGTAATCCGTTTTATCCGTGATGTTTTTATCCAAGGTTATCATGGTGTCAGAAACTTATACTGGCCCATTCCTAATTGATAATGTTTTTTTCAGGATGCACACACTAAAGTAGTCAGTGGTTAACTGCTATGAACTTGATCATGCATTTCTATTTTAAAATAATTACAATTATATTAGGGCTAGTTCAAGGACAATAGGCAGAATGAATGAAAATCATGTTTACTGTAATTTACAATGGTCGACAAAGTACACAAACCAAGTAGGCAACTTGAGGTTAAGTCGAGATTAACCAAGTTAAATTTTACTCAAGTAAAAATAAAATCTTGAGTAAAAGTACAAAAGTATTTGTCTTCAGATGTACTTAAGTATCCAAGGTCCAATGATTTATTATGCTTCAATATCCCATTATCATTTTTGTCACAAAACCTACAATACATCAAAACCCTGAATACAAACAGTTTCCTCTAGAACCAAATTAAATAACCTGATTTCAGTGCAGGCCGTTTCGATTCAAGGTTTACTTGTAACTAAGTTAAAGCCTCCCCAATTGGAAATACTTCAGCAGAGTACAGACAAAGTACGGTACAGCTAAGTAAGATCACATTACTTTGTGATCAAATGTTACATGATGGACAGTAACAAGTGGAACTTCCTCAACATTTTTGAGACCATTAACAGAAAAGTAGTAAAGATGCAAATCACGCTTCATATTGTATGTTCATGAAGATAATAGGACAACTGTGCTTGTGTGTGCACATATACATACATACATACATACATACATACATACATACATACACACACACACACACATATATATATATATATATATATACATACATACATACATACACACACACACACACACACATATATATATATATATATATATATATACATACACACACACACATATATACATACATACATATATATATGTATATATACATACATATACATACATACATATATATATCTATGTACATATCTTATTTATTTTATATATCATTACCAATCTAGTGATTTCTGGCTAAACCATTATAAAACTGTTAAAGGTATAGTAAAAAATTAAATAAATAGCTATTCTTTCCCTGACCAATAGGTGTCACTTTTCTGAAATTGTAGATAACCTAAGGCTATTGGGTTTTCATTACAGACCGAATTTGAGCTTTAGCAAATTGTCAAATCATTTTGTACATTATTTAAGAATGGTTTTACTAATCAAGAATTACATTTTTAAGAAAATCAGACCAAACAGTCCAGGAGTTCAAAAAAGTGATAAAATGTCAGAATTAGCATGAACATGTATCAAATTCTGGACAGCTGTGCTATATGGACTCAGCTGAATACTCCAGAATTGCTTTACTGTTAAGACGTCATCTGGTGCCATATTTCAGTGTTTCACCATACAGTTCTATTCACTACCATAGACTTCCTAAAAAAACAACAACACAAAACCCCAAAAACGTAACATTTCCAAAAGAAGCAGATGTAGAATTAGATTTGTTGGAAAAATAAGAACAATTCCATTTTATTTCATTTTTTTTTAAAAACAAGTACATTTACCATTTAATATACATTTAATTGAACACTCTTTCATAGTGACTGACAATAGTGTAGCAAGAACACTCACATAAAAAAACAGAGAAAATGCATACATTCAGATTTAAAGAAATGTATAACAGCACATACAGACTAGAAATTAATTTCTACTCCTTATAGAATATATTCAGCACATGAAGAAATCAAGACGCAATGCAGGACAAAGATTAACACTTGATCACAAATAATGCAGAGTAGACCATAATAAAGTCTTTATGGTAGTCTGGAATACACTTTTGATTCTGATTTGCTTTAAATTTTGTCTAAATAGTCATTTGTTGTGTGTTAAAGACTTAACAAATATGTGACAAAAAGACACATGTGATTTGATTCATATTTTTGATTGCAACTCAATGTGAATATACTCTCCGGCCACTTTATAAGGTACACCTTCCTAGTACCAGGTTGAACCCCCTTTTGTTTTAATCCTTTATGGTATAGATTCAACAAGGTACTTGAAAATTCCTCAGAGATTTTGGTCCATATTGACATGATCGTATCATGCAGTTGCTGCAGATTTGTCGGCTGCACATCCATTAAGCGAATCTCCCATTCCACCACATCCCAAAGGCGCTCTATTGGATTAAGTACTGGTGAATGTGGAGGCCATTTGAGTACAGTGAACTCATTGTCATGTTCAAGAAACCAGCCTGAGATAATTTGCGCTTTATGAGATATTCTATTGTATTGATATTCTGCTGGAAACAGCCATCAGAACATGAGTACATTGTGGTCATAAAGTGATGGACATTGTCAGCAACAATACTCAGGTAGGCTGTGGAGTTGGCACTGCTCAATTGGCCCTAATGGGCCCAAATTATCCCATATCCCCCACACCATCACACCACCACAACCAGCCTGAACGGTTGATACAAGTCAGGATGTACCTAAGTTTTCATGTTGTTGACGCCAAATTCTGACCCTACCATCCGAATGTTGCAGCAGAAATCGAGACTCATCAGACCAGGCAACAGTTTTCCAAACTTCTATTGTCCAATTTTGGTAAGCCTGTGCAAATTGTATCCTCAGTTTCCTATTCTTAGCTGATGGGAGTGGCACCCAATATGGTCTTTTGCTGCTATAGCCCATCTGCCTCAAGGTTGGACTTGTTGTGCATTCAGAGATGCTCTTCTGCATACCTCAGCTGTAACGAGTGCGTGCTTATTTGAGTTTCTGATGCCTTTCTGTCAGCTCGAAACCAGTCTGGCCATTATCCTCAGACCTCTGACATCAACAAGGCATTTGATCCCACAGAACTGCCGCTCACTGGATATTTTCTCTTTTTTGGACCATTCTTTGTAAAACCTAGAAATGGTTATGCGTGAAAAATCCCAGTAGATCAGCAGTGTCTGAAATACTAAGATCAGCCAGTCTGGCACCAACAACCATGCCACATTCAAAGTCAATCAAATCATCTTTCTTCCCCATTCTGGAGCTCGATTTGAACTACAGCATATCGTCTTGACCATGTCTACATGCCTAAATGCATTGAGTTGCTGCCATGTGATTGGCTGATTAGACATTTTTCAACGAGCAGTTGAAAACGTGTATCTAATAAAGTGGCTAAAAAGTTTTTTTCTGGGCCACAGCTGTACTGCTTGGATCACATGATCGATACTTCATTGAGATTAACACATGTAATGAGGTACCAAGTTTCAATAGCATGTTTGGATTAAGGAAAATACAATGAACATTTCATCCAACAATCTGTAATGCTAAAATAAATAAGAGCACTGCTGTTTTTTTTCTTCATGTGAATAATAGCGTCCGTTCTGAAACCATGTAGCCAACGACATCGAAGTTAATAATATAGATTCTCTCTATTTAATAAATATAGCGTGTATTTTTCTGTACAGTCCACAAACAGCAAGAACACATGAAGCAGACAAGGCCTTGTGGTAGTGATTGAGATTTGTCCTGATCCACACATACATCTATAAAATCAGTAACTTTAATGGCAGATTTTCATAAAGTGACTGAAAACATGACACCGGTTAACTGGAACACAAACATTACAGAAATCCCAAATCATTCATCAAGTCTGTGAAACAAAATGGGGAAAAAAACTATCTACTGACATGATTTTTCAAGTCATTATCTAATAGCTAGAGGCATTTATTGGTATTGTCCACTAATATACTGCGCAATACACAAAGACCTGATCTGATTTTAGTGAAACGGCTCACAGTTAAGACACCGACTCGGAAATATAAGCGGCTTACAGAAACACATGCAGAAGTCTGAAAAGCACAGCGCCCCCTACTGCTACAGTTTTACACTTTAGAATCTGGATCGTTTATTAAAAGTGGCACATTGGAATACTAACAAAGCCTGCAGGTCCTACGAGAGCTTTAAGATTGCGGTCACACTACATTTGAAGCATGCAAACTTACATATGCCACAACATGTATCTGTAACAGGACATGTAATGCTCTAGGGCCAGTGTTTTAATAAACGATGAATAAATATATCATCTATCAGCATTAAAAACCAAACAGCTTCTCTCAGTTTGTTTTTAGCGCAAGATGACATTTAGATTAATGTTCACTAACATTCAAAAGTTTGGGGTAGGTGTTATTTAAAAAGAAATGAATACATTGATTGTTGTATTTAAGATTAGCGCACTAAATTCAGTGACAGTAAAGTTTTTATAATGTATTAAAAAGATTTCTATTTGAAATAAATACTGTTCTCTTGAACTTCTGAAAAAATAGTCACATTTCCCACAAAAATAGTAAGCAGCGCTGATAATATTCAGCATAATCAAATTATTTCTGAAGAATCATGTGATACTGAAGACATGCTGAAAATTCATCTTTGCCATCACAGGAATAAAAGATGTTCAAAAAAGAAAACAGACACTTTATGATCATATTTTGTAATATTTCTGTCTGTGGTGTCTTTCTGATCAATTAAATGCAGCCTGAACAATGAACTTATTTCCTGAAAAAAAAAATTCAGTCACCCAAGAGTTGAAGTGTGCACTTGCTCTTCTTCATGTGTAAAATTGAAAGTGAACTGAGCATGAAATCTAGTGTGACCGCCTCTTAAGCCACCTTTCCACCATCTGCAACATTTACACACGACTGTCACATTTCACACCCTGGTGGCAATCACCGGGTACTTTGAAATCAGCGATTATAATGAATATAAATGAATGTGTGAATATATCCACACAAAAATAAAATAACAGCCAATACATGTCAAAAATAAAAACAGTAGAATTTATCAGGCCAAGTAATTTAAATAACTATTAAATGACTTTATTATATGGCTCTCTGATTTATTACATTTGCTCCTGATTGGTGAATCATGACATTCCATCAATTGGTTAAATTAATAACACAGGTCAATCTCGGTACTTTGAATCATCTTGACCAGGGGTGCCCAAACTATTTTTTTATAAAGGGCTAAAAACCAAACTTGATTGAGGGCTGTGGGCTGAAGTTAAATATACCAAGCCGTATTACATTTAAATTTGCCATGGATAATTTCCTAGTCCATTTTCTAATATTTAAAATTAACTAGAAATGTTGCTTTAAAACATATTAATTAATGATGTGGTATAATTTTTACAGTTTTACAATAAATTTATTACAATAAAAAAAACATAAACAATTCCATTTATAACACAATGGAGTTTAATGCTGAGTAAACTAGTCGACCTGCTCCTGCCTTTGCCTTGATTTGCTTACCAATGTCTTGTGAATTGTCTTCTATCTGACAGCATTTACATTTTAAAAGTCTCTCTTATTTACATTATTTAAATGAAACATTTATTTTAGTTGGCTTTTTTGAAGCTCCTCAGTTAAACAAAGAAACAAAAGATTATGCTAAATTCAAAATGATGATCTCTGTCAAAGGCATTTGACCCAACCAACTCCCCATCATTCTCCCTCTCTTTCATGATGGGATGGCCAAATTAAAAATTACCATGTGACAACTTTAGCCCGCAGACCTTACTTTGGACACCTTTGATCTTGACTGTAAGTGACTATATTCATATACATGCTTATCAGTCACATCATTATTCTTGACTGTTTGGCACCATCTTTTGGCAAGCATTACATTTTAATAAAGAGTTAGTAAATTATAGCAGCTTAGATCTTCATTTTTTTGTCTATTTGTTTATTTCATTGGCAAGTCGTTGTGTAATTATCAGGATAATGTACATCTAGCCAGTTGTTTTTACAGGATGAATATAGGGCTTATACAGGAGCCCTATGTGAATAAGAATGCAGAGCTTTATTCTCTGAGAACAACCCCTACTTTTACTATGGGGCTGTTAAATGCTTGATTCCGATTGGCTGGTGAACTTTCCACAGAGTCATTCACATATCATATCAAAACTCTATGTAAATAATACCTCTACATGGAACTACATGGAAAATCTACAGTTTCCTCTACCAAACTGAACTAGTGCTCCTGTGGCATCTGCTGTTGCTCACCCGCCATCAGTTGGCTTCTCCACACTGTAAACAAATCAGTCAGTAGTCCTTTCCTTTTGCTTTTTCTTGTTCACTCAACTTTTGAAAACATCAGCTGCACTGACCTAAAATTATTTGTCAGTAATACAAAAAACATTTAGCTGGGTTAACAGAAGTATATAAGTTTTCTGGAGATGTGAACTACTCTGTAACAAAACTTTTTAAGCAGTGCCATCTGAAAGTTTTTAGTCTGCAGAACTGGAATGCATGAAATTGAGTGAAACCTTTTTTTTCAGCATTTCCTTTCGTTTTTTCTCATGTACGCAACACTTTTTTCACCTTTAATTGATAGGACAGTAGAGAGTATAGACAGGAAAGCGTGAACAGAGGAGAGAGTTGAAGGATTGGCATAGGACCTCGAGGTGGGAATCGAACTCAGGTCTAAATGAACACCGGAGTGCCATGTGTCGACACACTAACCACTAAATCATTGGCGCTGACGTGTACTCAACTTTTAAACACATCGATTGCACTGACCTAAAATGTTTGAAGTTGAGGGAAAAAAAACCCTTTGGAAATTGGTACAAAAAATAATACAATATCAGAACAAACAAACATAGTTTAACTAAAAAAACAGGAAGGCCTGCTTCACATGTGAGGCATTACAAAGCATGTTTCCCTGTTTATCCTGCCATGTTTTGATCATTGTCTTGTTTACATTTATTGTTCTTTTACCTCCTGTCCTGTTTCTAATTCTGAGTCTACTAAATGTTTTGTTTTGCATTTGTCTCTGTTTTAGTTTTTTTTTTCAATTGAACTATGTTTGTTTTTGTTTTTTTTGTTCACTCTTGACACAATCTTGGCACAACAATTTTTGTTACAGAAAACTAATAATCTTATGTTAACCCAACTAAATATGTTTTGTCTAACTGACAAATAATTTTAGGTCAGTGCAGCTAATGCTGTCAAAGGTTGAGTGAACAAGAAAAAGCGAAAGGAAACACGGGTTATGTTTTTTGTTGTTATACTGACTTAAAGTTTTTTATAGTGCAAGGAGCCACCACTAACAAACCCTTGCTGTAACTCTGATACATGCTTTATTTACGTAAAAAGAAAAAAAGTGCTGCTGTGTTTGCGTGCTCTGTGTTTGTTTGGGGTAATTAGTCTGTGTTTATTATACACATTTTTTAGTTAAAACATAAAGGAAAAGCTGATTGGTTTGTTCTTGTCACATGATGTGCAGTGCACTAGTGGCATTCTGAAAAGTTGAGATGTTCTTAACTCGCTGCCTGGAAAAAAAAGAGAGCATCACTCTCTATTGGAACTTGCTTACCACGCATCTGCATTTGCAATAAATGCAAAAAATGCCATATGTTAACAGCCCCTATTTTTCAGATAAACACACAGTTGTTCCAGTCAGGTTTTCACTGCATTACAGTTTCATGTCACTATGCTGAATGATTTCAGTCATTTCAAGGTTTAAAAACTGTCAAAAACCCTAATCAAAACAAAACAGAAGGTTTTGAATGAGATGTGTAAGAAACTAGTCCTATACACAGGAGCACTTTGAGGACAAAGGCTGACAAATGTCTTGAAATACAACGTTTTTAACAGTGTCTTTAGGAGTGGTAACCATAGGTGTCAGTGGAATAATTGAGCCAGTAAATTATTAGAAAATACACCCTGGTTATTCCTGGTATAGACCAATTTGATGGATGTAAACAATAACAATGGTCCCAGCGTATTTCCCGTTTTACATTTCTAATTTCCATTGCTTACGACAATCCAAAAAACATATTGATAAATAATGTTATGAGAGCTGTTTTAACGTCAACTTTTGATTCAATTGTCTCTTGTTACAGTTATGAAATAGTTTAATAACAAGCAGTAAATGTTCATGAGCCAGTGACATGACCACATTGGAATGGTTCATACTCCTAATAATATGGTATATTCCTAATAATTCAAGGTCCTGTCGTCAAATTCTCACATAAAAATTCTCTCACTTTTATAATAACCAGCATTTTACAGAAACAGTATTTTCATGATAAAGTTTGAGGGGAAATACTGCTTAAATTTAAGTAATGTTAACTTTGCGCTCATAAGTTTTGATTAAATACATCATTTCTGATTGGACAGTCGCATAACTCTAAATCTAATCCAAAACGAAAGACTTCTTGCCCGTGTTTTGCTTGTCAGAGATAGTGAAAAGGCAGCTTTTGCAGTAAAATGCACCTGTTCCGAACTTCTTTTCTGTTTCAAAACCTAGTGAGCTCTACATAGGCAGCTTTTTTTAAGGCACCATAGGCACACTTCTGCCTTCTATGATATGTTCCTCCTGTTCAGATTCTAAGGCAGCACTGCATGTATGGAGAAAACAATCCCAGAATGCACTGCAACATGACTCAGTCTAATAATTTCATGGTAGGCAATGCAAGAAATATCAATAAATACTTGTGTATTAATCTAAAAGTTGAATCTGATTTAACACAGACTCTATAACCCACTTTTTGTGTGAGCTACGTATCAGTATCGCATTATCTTAGTCTTTTATGAGGTTTTGTTTCAGTTAATGTAGGCAGTAAATAGCAAGGCAGTTCACTAGGTTTTGAAACGGAGCCTACAAAATCCCCAGTAATCCTGACTGCATTTACAACAAGATCAAACTCGGTGTCATGCAGTGGATGAGCACTCATTAGCAGCACCTACTTATAAAATGTAATGTACTGTAAAACCTGATCAAAGAGCCAAACGACTCTTAATAATTGCACACTGACTGACTGCAGGTAGATCGAGATGGTTGGCATTGGAAATGTTTCACTATACCTACTTGAAACTGATTTGGTCAAATGTTCCCTGTTTTGCAGTAAGGGCTGATGGGATACATCTGTGAACACGAGAGGTTTCAGAGCTACTTGTTCTCTATAAGTGTCTGCACTTTGCACACCAGGTCTCGAGACAGAGTCAGGATCTGCTTGATATTGTGATGCTCAGCCATTTCTGGAATAAAAAAACAGGACATAATTATTCAAATCAACCGCCCAGTGAACTGAATAAACCAGAAATACAGTATGTATAGAAAAATAATCATATCCCTTTAAAATAATTACTTTACTTGTCATACACATATAGCCTAAGATCAAATCACAAACTTCAAATAACTTTTCCAGCATTTGAAGTGTTTTTGTAGCCTTCTCCTAACCTTAATCTAAATCTTTATCTAACAGCAGGGTGTAATGTGAATAAAGGTATAGATTTTCAGAGTATATAAGGATTTTCCATATTTAAACTGTAATTAAACCCCACTCATAATAAAAATAATATTACATCACTACAATCTTCATCAAATGTATATATATATATATATAAAATGATTAATTTTAATATTTTAAAAAGTCATTTGCATCGAAGACTTTGAGTACAACACAGGCACTTAACACACAAATACACTTCATTAAACATGTGCACATAGACATCACCTATATGCAATAAAATATCAGGTTAACTATCAGGCTAGATAAGCCGAGGACAAAAAAGGAGTAAGAAGAGAAATTTTTATATGAATATAAAAATACATATAGATATTAATATAAAAATATAGATAATAACAAAAGTGTGTCCTGGCTTTATTTATAATGTACGTGGTCATGACAAGCAAATGTGAAAGAGGAAAAAGTCATACGCGCACATTATAGGACTACACAATATCATTATATTGCATAAACAGTAGACTAGGTAGGTCAACAATTACGACTCTGAATGACGTCCGGAATAAACAGTTACTGCTCCTTCTTGTGCACATTGATGAACCATCAATCAGGTCATCTGCTTTGATGACGATGAACCTCACTGAGACCCTTCCACCACCCTCCAAAATTTTTTTATGCAAATTACAGGGGTTCCCGCACTGAACTCAAAAAATACCGAAATCCATATTTATATGGAAGAATCATCCCTGAACTATGTAAATAATAACTTTTATATTTGATTGTGACGTTATCTGATATAAATTTAAGCTGATTGTAATGGAATAATGATAACCTTTTGTAAAGCTGCTTTGAAACAATAACTATTGTAAAAACTCTATACAAATAAACTTGAATTGAATTTGTAACAACATGTTTAAAGTTCATGAGAATTGAAAGTTCCTGCAGACTTTTATCCCAGTATTATTATGCATTTCCAACTGAAACAGAAAATTGAGTAGAAGGTGGGGTTTTATTTTGGCATTCCAACTTCATCAAACAAACATCACTTTCTAATTCATTTTAATTTGAATACATTAATTTCATCAATTGCAACTGCTGTTGTACTATTCAGTTTACCGCAGTTGCTTTTAATTATTTGTTTTTGCAAATAAACTCGTAAAATTCTAATTAGAAAATTACTTTAATCCAAAAAACCTCCCTGAAAGTACAAAATATTATTGGATGATGTTGAAAAGCAAACCCATTGGAACACAAGGGCAGTACAGTTCTTACCACACTATTGCACAAGTGCAGTAAAGACAAGAGTTTTCTTGTTTTTATTCCAGTTTACCGCAGCTTATACTGCTGTTGAACTTTATTGTACTGTACTTGAACAGAGAGTATACTTCATTGTATTGCAATTGTAGTTCATTTAACTGCTGTTACACTTCTATAAACTGCTGTTGGACTGTTGTTGTACTGCAGATTTACTTCAGTTTACTGCAGTTATTTTTTATAAGGGACATGCCTGGAACTTTCTAGTGTACATACACTTGATTAAAATATGCAGGACACCGACCCTCCGGAACTGAATTTGGGCACCCCTGTTCTAAACACTGGAGGGTGTATGAAAATTGTGTAGTTAAAGTATATGATTAGTTACAGGTAGATAAAAAGTCAGACAAACCTTTTGGCCACTTTTAGTGTGTTGACTTGACTGAGAACATACTTCTCATGCTGAGAACTATTTATATGATTATTGGTTTCCTGTTTTATTCGATTTTTTTGCTTAATCACATTTTTTTTGCTCACATTGGCAAAAAAAGTGGACAATAGATGGATTGGCATGAGTTTGAAAGTGAGCTTGTTGGTTCTTTAAAGCAAATGCACACTTAGAAAGTTTTTCAAATCAGTTTGTCCCAACACCCTATTTTCCCCAAAACGATGTATGTTAAACAAAGGCATATAAAGAAATATTTACCATTAAAAAACTTGATGATGTCGGTGAAGTCCATATTGTTCTCCAGGATGATGTCTCTGTAGATCTCCACCAACGAAAGAGCAATAAAGAGCACGAAATGGCTGGAGGAAACGCACTTAGCAGCCCAGATGGTCTCCCAAACAGCGAACACATCATCATACACCAACTCTGAGGAGTCCAAACACAGATGTTAAGGCAAAGAAGCCACCTACTTATGAGGAGTTATACATAATAAACATGACAGGAATTATACAAATCCTATACTTATCACTGTATATTATGAACAGCAGGGGGAGCTGTCATTTCTAACAAGCGTTTTATAAGCTTGGCCTTGGGCAGAACCTCATTATTTTGTTTTTTATTACAATATATTCAGCCTTTAATGTGTGCAGAGTCTTGTGTTGGCCTATTATTAAAGTAATCTGATTTAAATGACTGAGTCACAATTGATGAGGCCATTTCAATTGCTAGTTAGGAGACTGAACATTCATTATAAATCATTAAGCAGAATATTACTTTATCTTACAAACTTAACACATTTATACAAGTAATTTGTTTAGATTAACTGCATGCTAATTTGTAAACTATCAGTTTCTTTATGCAAGTTTTAGCAAAATTTATCATTACCTCTTTTAAAGTCAAGAAGAAACCAGCGATAGCAGAAGTAGAAGTGAGTGTAGTCTCCATTCTGATGCATCAGCTCAAACAACTCTGCGTCTAGAATCTAATTACAAACAGAGTTTACACATCCATGCAGCAGATTTAAAGGACATGGTTTGATCACATGTGATAGAGAGATTGTAACCTGGATCAGAGATCTCATGTTGGCGAAATGAGTGTCCATCGCTCCTCCATGAGGAAAATTCTGATTCATCCTTTTCATTAGTTCAGTGAAACAACTGAAAGCCATGGCCTCTGAAAGATTCAATAGGAACTGATATGAGAAAAGCAAATATGTAATAAAGCTTCTTTATATAAAGAATGAATAAAGCGCAGACTCACCGTCATCTAGAATAACTAGCAGGGGAGCGAGGAGGTCACACATGCCCTGGACATATCCAATTTCAAGGTGCTGCCAAACATAACTGCAGAAAGAGTCGGTCAATAGAGGGATATTTGAGCTGCAGCATAACACCATCTGTACTGAGAGCTTTTTATCGTTCGTCATCCAGTTTCTAAGGATTTCTGAGTTATTGCTAAGATGGTTTCTGTTTTTTTTTCAATGATTGTTTAACACTATTTACTAAATCAAATAGCCCAGGTCCAAGTGTCTATAATCTTCTAACCCCTAGTCATTTGTGAATGTTTGTTATACCATTTGCCAGATGAAGTAAATTACTATGAATCAAATTATGAAACAAAAAAAATAACTTATTTTTACAACATGTCTGTTCAGTTCAATAAACTGATTTTTTCGTTACAAACGGCAGAAATAAAAAATCCATTCTAAATCACCTGTGTGAAAAATAAAATTAAAGTGAACAAAGACATCATCACTATAATATAATGTACAGTATTTACAATAATTTGACAGCAGGATTCAATGTTGCAAAATATTTTTTTTTATTATTAATAATTTTGTTAAATATAAAATTATATATTTTATTCACAGAATAAGCATTTAGAATAATGCAGGAACATGCATTACAGTTTATTTTTACAGACGCTAGGACAAATTTCTCAATACTTAGGTCACTTTTTCAAAACTCTTCACACAGTGAGCACAACAGAAGTCTATGTGGGCTAAACTGAGGATCAATTATCATTGTTTTGGCACAAAATGCATTCAATGACTAACATCTCTTAAATTTTATGAATTCTTTTCTCACTCAGACAAAACAACTGACAAAAATCTTTGTTTATACAGGATGTTTTGCACATGCGTACATACTGTTTTAAAAACTGTTAAACTTATGTTCAAAACAATAACAATGCAAACAGAATAAGACAGCAAAATTCAACAGCAATATTTTATTCAAACATATTTCAAATCTAAAAATGCTGTTTAACCAGCCAGATTAGCATTACTGTTGTATCTGTTTCAGTAGATGGTGTGTATACAAATTCTTGTATTTTGGAATAACTTAATGAAAATAAATAAACAACAAAAAATATTGATGAATTCTGCATCATGTCTGATTCATTCCAGTAACACATATTGCAGTTATAACAATGTGTAATGCTACATGCTGTTTGTGGTTTTTAGGTCATTGTTTTGTGGATGACAAAGTGTGTTGAGTTAATTTAAGACCTGAATAAAGTGTTTTGGTAGAAATGTCTAGAGACATGTGTGCTGGAAATTCTCTTCTATTATTTACAAGAATAAAAATATATACTTAAATTCTAATAGTTTTCCAATTTTTTTTTAGTTAAAGGCCACCTATGATTAAAATTAACTTTTGTAAGCTGTTTGGACAGAGCTGTCTGTATGTATAGTGTGTGCACTACTGGATATATGTGTGTGTGTGTCATCCTGGAGTGATATAAACCCAACAAGTCTTTTTTTTAATTTCCTGATGTTAAAATAGGACCCAAATCCCAGTAATTTTGAGGCCCATCGCAACGTGACGTGAAGTTATGTTTTATACATTTAAAAGGTTTTTTAAAACAGAGCACGTTTGTAAGACAGTAAACCCGATTATGTCATTCTTAACCGCTATAATCACCACAGCCGCATGGTGTCAGTAAAAGTGTGTATGTGTGTGGCTCATCATTTCAAAATGGCTTGAATAAACTCAACCACAAATACATAAACTTACTTTGTGTTTTGACTAATGAGCTGTATTTCAGCTTCATCAGAGTCTACGTTATCTGACAAAATGCATAATGAGAAACAGACACACAGATGGGAATGGTAGGCGGGAAGAGGCAGCTCACTTGGATTTAAAGCCACAGGCTACAAAAGCAGCTACAATGTATTCAGACACCAAAACGGGCAGATTCTGGAGGCTATAATAAATTATCTGACGGGTATTTGGTGCTGAAACTTCACAGAAACATTCCGGAGACACCACAGGCTTATCTTACAACTTGTAAAAGGGGTAAAATAGGTGCAATTTAAATGAATGCAGACATGATAAGCTTTCAAAAACAAAACAATTTTAATCATAACGTATTCTACTGTGACTGATACTGATAAACTAAAAATAAAACTTTACACACTAAACAATTCCAGCTTGTTTCAAACCAAACTTGGGTCAAATATGGACAAACTTATTTATTCGGTTTAAATGTATGTTAAAAAGCAGTTTGGTTGACTTATAGGCTTAAAACAACTTAGCATTTTTTTAGACTATAACATTGGCCAACAAATTTACTATGGTATCCAAACATATTGCACATCCATTCCTGAAAACATAGCACACATCAACTCAAGTCATATAATCTAGAGCAGGGGTTCTCAAACTCGGCCCTGGAGGTCTGGTGTCCTGCAGATTTTAGCTCCAACTTGCCTCAACACACCTGCAAGGATGTTTCTAGAAAGCCTACAAGTAGCTTGATTAGCTAGCCTAGGTGTGACTGATTGGGGTTGGAACTAAAATCTGCAGGACACCAGACCTCCAGAACAGAGTTTGAGAACCCCTGATCTAGATCATTGGTCTCAAACTCAATTCCTGGAGGGCCGCAGCTCTGCACAGTTTTGCTTCAACCCTAATCAAACACAGCTGATCCAACTAATCAAGGTGTCCAAGACTACTAGACACTACTAGATCAGCTGTGTTTGATTAGGGCTGGAGCAAAACTGTGCAGAGCTGCGGCCCTCCAGGAATTGAGTTTGAGACCTTTGATCTAGAGTATCATTCATATCTGAAGCTCGAACACTGAAACTCAATGTAGAAATGGTTCTGTTACCTGCACATGATGTTGCGCAGTTTCTCCAAGTTAGCAGGTGTGAAGTACCAATAATTCCGGTCACAGCGCTGAACATCTTTATCTATGCGATGCAGATTTAGAGTGTACATGTCCAAAAGCTCTTGCTGCAAATACATGGGTATCAGACCATGAAAATTCAACTTGATTCACATAACATCTATATTAATACCAAAATATATCTCTGAAACCAGTGCTTACTGAATAAGTGGTCCCTATAGAGGAAACCGGAGAGGAAGCTTCAATCTTCTCTGTGTTTACAGCCAGTGAATCTAGTTGTGGGCAGAGACTTTCCATCTCTGGCTTCTCAGGGTTCACTTCTTCAGAGCTGAGCTTTCCATGAGCTTCCTCTAGTCGGAGCTCCAATGCAGGAATAGTTGCTTGCTCAGTTGTTCTTCTTTTGGGCGAACTTTTCCTTTCCCACACTTTAGCCGTAGGAATCTCTTCCATCTCGATGGCAGAGGGAGACTCGTCTGATTCGGTTTCATCTTGGGCTTCACTCATCTTTCTATTGCTAAAAGCTTCATGCACCAATGGGACTGTCTCCTCAACCACAGGAGCTTTCCTTTGCATATCTGCTTTTCTTTTTCCTGTCGGACCAGCTTCATCGGCTAAATCACTGGTCTTCTCATCAATTGGTTTCAACACTCTAACATTGTTCTCCTCATCCATCCATGTCTTAGAGTCATTATCTTTGCTTGTTTCATTGGTTTTTGTTGCTTCTTTCTCTGTATCCTCTGAAACAGACACTTGAATGTCAGCTACAACCTTCTGCTCGAGTGCATCTGATACCTTAAGATCTTTTGCTATCAAAGGTTGCTCTCGGATTGCTGTAATATCTTTAATTCCCTTGTGGGGCCTTTCGATGTCCGCTCTTACTCGAGTCTCATTCATCTTCCGCTCTGGAGGAGTCGATTCCATGACCTCTGTTGCTTTGGGAATATCTGGCTCAGTATGCCGTGTCAGTGCATCATTTTCCGATGTCAAACTCCTCTCCAGAGATTCGCCCACTTCCATTTTGGTCACCTGGCTGTGATCTGCTGTAGAAGCCACAAAGGCATCTCGGGCTGTTTTTGAAATATCCATCTTGACTTCAGAGTCCTCAGTGGCCTTTTTGCTTTCCTGTGTAACCACTTCATCTAATAACACTTTGTTAACCTCAGTTTTATTATCTTCTCTTACCCCCTGTTTCATCACCATTTTGGTCTCACGTTCCTCAGTCTCCTTACCTTCCTCTCCGCAGCATGCAGCCTTTTCCTTTGATGCTGTTAGTTGCGGTTGACTTTTAAGGTTTGGCTCATGTATTCCGCTGTCCTCTGTACTCAAGGAGTCCGACTGACCAGAGGTGACGGAGAAGTTTCTGGAAGAGGGGTGGCCGGAGTCTGGAGAGCTGGTGCCATTTTGAGGGGTTCCGTTTGAGATTTTGCAAACCTGTTTGCCAACATCGTTCTTGGGCTCAGACTCGATTTGCTCGACCTCTTCAACAGACTCAAACACCTGGAGAAACAAACCAAAGGGAAGCAAGCTACTCCAGGGAAAGGGCTTTTGGGAAGTGATGAACTATCAGGAAAGAGTGTGAGGGTGAGGAACATCAGTCAAAGAGGAGCTCCTTTGTTATCACATGCAATTTGAAGCAAAAAAAAAAAATCAAAATGTTCAGTGCCCCTATTATGCTATTAGGTTGCCATTTTCACTTTAAAGGTTTATTACTATCTTCTTATAAAGTTGTGACGTATGGAATACTGTTTCCAGGTCCAAGCCCCAAAATGTAGATGTTCAGATATTTCGTCGGACTTTGCACCACTGAATGCTTTGTTTCTTTATGTGACTCGATTTTGACTGGAAGACAGCAGCTCTAAAAATTAAGCGATGACTAGTCAATCTGACTATTCCAATTTACTGGTCAAATGGGACATAAGTAATAAAAGGAGTACTAGTTAACCTTATTTTCATCATTAAATAAAAAGCCTTATTTAGGATGTAAGTTGGCAGTCTTTTGAAGATTTTCATGCTTAAGTCAGAAAAAGTTATAAGCAGAACATGCCGTATGTTAAGCTTATCTAAAGTTAATAAAGTTAATAATATCTATGCATTGTGTACTATCAAAGACTATAGAATCTGCAAGACATGTATAGTTTTAAATGGGGAAAAGTGTAAGGATCAACATGGCGAATGAAGCCCCACCTACTAATACAGGAGCCAATCATTGATTGTTATAGACTGACGATTCTCTGTGGGAGAAGCTCAGAACAGACGCGTGCTTTTACAACAGTTTATGTGGTCATTTGATGTTTCCCCATTCAGACAGAACGCCCGAGCATACTTCCCGAGAGGCATTTCAAAGATGGCCGCAGAGTAAGGCAAGCTTAAGTTGATTTCATCAAATGTGTATTGCCAGATGAGTATTTTGCATATGAAACCTGATGGGGTTATTACTGGTGCCACCAACTGGCAAAGAACGAGTAGCATTTTTATTCTTCCTGCCAACTGTTTTCTGCATTGTTTTATATGTAGTTCAAAAAGTCAATCCATTATGTTTTTATTCAATCTTTTGAAATGACACACTCTAATTTAAATGAAAAATTGCTCAAGTTAGCAAATATATTTAGCCCCTTTGTGTGGATCCTGATTATGCAAGCTGAATTTATAATCATTTAAAATGTGAAATAATTTTAACAGTTTTTAATGCTTCATGACATGTTTTATTTACTGGTTGACAGACATATTTTTAGATTGATATAAGAATTTTAGGTTGATATTTAGAGAGAGATTAAACAAACACTGTTCATAAAAATGCTGATTTAAAATTTTTTTTTAAAAACGGAATAAAAATATAAAAAAGAAGCAGACCCACACTTCAACACCCAAATGTTCAAACCAAATTTACATCCTTGAATGAATCCATGGGCAAAAATGACTTTAATTGTCTCAATAATCTCCATTTCACAATACCTCTTTGTCAAGGATTCTCAAACAATTTGTTCAAAGATTTCTTCTTTCTAAAATCGTTCTTTGCCCAATCTCTTGTGTGTGATCCACCACTTATAGCACACTCTGAAAACAAAAGGTCCATTAGCATATCTGAATGCCAGCTCTGGAGGTTTCCTCAGTCCTCAGAGATTTTACACACAGTAACAAAAGCATTGATTTTACCATATCAATCCAAGCAGAGACCATTGATAAACACTGGAAGAACTTAATGATTAACTTGAAGCTCAGTAGCAAAAATGAGAAGGGTGTTTCTCATTGATACGTTTAGAGAATAATAATGAATCACACACATTTCTGTTGAGCATATGAACACAATGCCTGATAAGATGTGTTTAGTCACTGAAAATGCCCAAATTTTTTAAATGCACACCCACTTAGTGACTGAATTTTACACTCTTGTGATAAACAGAGCGCAGATACAAAGTATTACGAGTAAGAGGTTTGTTTTGCAGCTTTAGTGACTATAATGGGAGTTTTTGTGCATTAGTTGAGCTTGAATAAATGTTCTCTCTCCACAATAGTTTTAACCTTGATGCGATATTGACAGCACGAACCAGCTAAAGCATAAGAAGCAAAGTAGGCATTGTTCTAAGGCAGCCATTGAAGACTATAGGCTAGCATTATGCAAATTTGTTACATATTTACACAGGAATTGTGGACAACCTGCAGACATTAGGTCTTATTCACTAATAACTGGGTATGTTTTTTTGTATTTATATGCACATTTGAACTTCTCACAAAAACAACACAGGCTCGTTGTGAAAATGTACCCCCTGTATACATTTCTGGAGAGCGTGAATTATGTAGCCAGAGCTATGTATGACTGCATTTGGTCTTTAAAGTGAACGTTATGGGGCGGTTTGACGTTGCCGACTGCTTTTGTTTCTTTTCGCGATACCTCTGTACAGACAGCTTTTCTGCTGTTACCAGTTTGCCCAGTGTCTTACTCGTACGTTGCTGGACATGAGATGCAGAGCGAAGTTGACTGCAACATACATGCACAGTCTGTAAAATTTGAGTCTGACAAAGAACGGTTCCAGTAAGCAGATAAAACAAAACGGCAAAAAATAAAATAAACAATCAAATGACAGTGAAAACATGGTAAGAACTGAAAATGTGTTAAAAAATCAGGTTGCCATGAGGGCTTATTCTTGATTGCTTTTTGAGGAAACTGTTGGTCGGTTTAGTTGGCAGTGAGTGGGTCAATCTGTGCTTTTGAAAACACTATTGGTTGGGTTTAGGGAAGGGGGTGGGAGAGGGCTTATTGGTCAGTCAGTCAATCGACAGCAGCTGCTGGTGCATTTAAGCGAGAACAGGAGGTGTGAATGGCACTCGCGAGAGAAATTTGAGATCTAAAAAAAGTACACAACTACCTCTGGTGGAGTCGCAAAAAACAAAAACTGCAAAAAAAAATTGCTCCTGGGACGCATTTCGCACTCTACAGAAATGTATACAGCGGTACATATCCATAATGAGCCTAAGTTGTAACAAAGATTTTCTATTCTCTAAAAGTGTGCAATGAACATGTCAAGCTATATAACCATCTAGAGATGTATAGATATGTATTTTGAGGAAAAAGGGCTACAACTGGTGGTGTATTTTGAGAAGAAAGGTGACAACTGGGGCTGTCTGTAGAATGGGTGTTCTGCTGAGGAATGTGTGAGGTCACTATTGTTTGGAGCTGCTGGAGAATGAGTTTATGTGTAAAACATTGATAGTATATGTAAAACACACATATGAAGTTTGTAGTTTGTGAGTTAATAAATAAATTCAGTAGTGATGGGGCGAAGACTAGAGGGGCAGTAAGTGGGAATTGTAGAATCCGCAGATGCAGAACCGCTGTGGGTCAGTCATCCTTTTCAGTAAAAGGTTCACATCTATGGAATGCCATGCCTGTTCATTTAAAGTTACAATCAGAACTCCCAGTTTTTTCTGTAAAGCTAAAAGAATGGTTGAAATCTTTACAGCAATGTGAACATTAAGCATTACTCTTTCAGGTTGGTCCCATTTACATTTCTCTTTATCCATATGGACTTGCATCTTATGTTTATGGCTCTGTAAATATTGTACATGTTTGCTGTATTGTGTTTTATTTTTGCCGGTTTTCTTTATTATTATTATTATTATTATTTTCTTTTTTATAATGTAAAGCCTAACCAGGGACGAGGGCTGCAAATTAGCTTTATGCTATATGCCCTATGTACACAACATCGGTTATCTTTGTATAACAATGTCAAGTGTATTGTCCCTGTAAAATAAACAAGCAAATAAAATAAAAAAATGAAGAGTGAGTGACATATTCTAAAATTAGTGTACTATCATGGCAATGTATGTAAACACTCAGAAGAGATTGAATCTATGGAGAGATAACTTTGGTTGTGAAAACAGCATTGTAGGGGACAGGGTGCAAAATAACATGAGCACCTAAATATATACTAAACCTCTCACTAAAGAGAAAACATCCTAAAATGGTTGGAGTTAAAACAAGACGACCTACAGGTGGGGAGGAGAGAACACTGTATAAAAATTGTGAAGAAGACAGACACTTTGGATTGTCCTGGGGTGAAAGTAGAGATGGGTCTGCTTATGGACGTCTCTGCTTGTTTGGAAAATATTCCGATAAAGTATATTCTTCTGATATTCATAACCTCCAGACTAAGGTCTAATTCAGTTAGATATGAAACACGCTTTCAGTTCTGAAAACATGAGGTAAAACTCGCTGCATTTGTTTTGATTTTAGAAAAGACTTTTCAAAAGAGTAGATTGCTTTACATTTTATGATGCTAGCCTAAGCATCCACTGTCCTTTTTCCAGCTGCAGGAATGCAAAATGCGAGGCACAGCAGGAAAGTGCAAGACGCGAGGCACATAAACGGTGCAAAACACTTGATGCCAATGGAAAACCATTTTAAAAACACGCCTCTCACCACAATAGAACACATTCGATGTGATGGGAGCCTGAGCAGCCATTCATCACTCTCGTGAAACACAAGTGTCATGTCTCCAAACACAAGCTGAGACACAATAATCATCCTTTATATGAGGTTATTGTTGAGCAGGTATTACTATTGAGTATTTTCTATATATTTTTTTATACATTTATATATTTTTTAGGGATGCTCCGATTAGGATTTTTGCAGTCAATACTGAGTACCAATACCTGGTCATGGTGATCAGCTTATACAGAGTACCGATTTTGATGCTTTAAGTTTTATGATACATAAGCGGAGCTCTCTCCTTAGCTAAGAGAATAAATGAATGTTACACATAATCTCTTAAACATGTCTCTTATAACCATTTGCATGTGAACATGATGAAAGTAGGATATTCGGGAGGCTTGTGGAGCTTCTGGAAGAGGTCAAAGGGATGGATGGGACACTAGAGAGGGGCAATAGCTCTGTTTGTGTCACAGCAGCTCAAAACACTGGATATACAATGTTTGTGAAAAAGAGACCATCACTCTCGCAAGTCACGTATAAACAGTTTATGCATATCTGTATCTATATACAGTTGAAGTCAGAATCATTAGCCCCCTTTGATTTTTTTTCTTTTCTAAATATTTCCCAAATGATGTTTAACAGAGCAAGAAAATTATCACAGTATGTCTGATAAAATTTTTTCTTCTGGACAAAGTCTTTATTGTTTTTAATTTTTTTAAAAACATTAAGGACATAATTATTAGCCCCTTTAGGCTTTTTTTTTCAATAGTCTACAGAACAAACCAATGTTATACAATAATTTCCTAATTACCCTAACCTGCCTAGTTAACCTAATTAACCTAGTTAAGCCTTTAAATGTCACTTTAAGCTGTAAAGCAAGTGTCTTGAAAAATTTCTAGTCAAATATAATTTACTGTCATCATGGCAGAGATAAAATAAATCAGTTATTAGAAATGAGTTGAAAAAACTCATTTTTAATGAGTAATAATTTTGACTTCAGCTGTATATTTTAGCTGTTGTGACACAAGCACAGTGATCCCTCACACCTCCACACATCATTTACCTCCTCATGTTTTGTATCTGCTGTATGTAGAAACCAGGTGCGCACATATTTCTGCTCTGCTTATAAAACAAAAGGCTGTGATTGGTTCATGAGATCGGCACGATCAGCGAGTACAGATCAAGTTTGATTATCAGCCGATACAGATCTCCGGCCGATTGATTGGAGCATGCCTAATATTTTTATACAGTATTTACTTTTCATTCACACTGTAATATGCATATCTAATTATATGTAGGGTTCTTTTTACATGTTTATAAGGCACCGGTGGCAAACTTTGGAATACATTTTAGTATTTAAGTTTTGATGAATTATGATTTATTCGTGAAAACGTCCGTATGCACACTTCATGCATAAATTTGCATGCGCTTGGTTCATGAATGAGAACCAATATATTTATTTGTTATTTGAGAATTACCTCTTATATTCACAAACATTATAGGCTGCATGAAAAGTAATATTTGAAATGGCAAAACAGGGGCACTTTAAGCAAATGCACTTTAAGTATTGGCTGTAAAATTCAGTCTGAGGTTTACCTGTGTGCCACTACTGGAGTCGCTTTGAAGCCTGGAATCTCTTTGCCTGTCAGAACTACAGCTTTGCGAGGACTGAATGACAAACACAACAAAAATCCCAAAGTAAATATGGCATAAAATCAAAAGCAAATCTCAGTCTGGAATCTAAAATCCATCGTAAATTGCAGCCAAGGTCGTTTTGATCTCGAAAAGTTCCTGCACTCACCTCATTACTGATAGTGGAGTCGCGGTGCATTATTCTCTGTGTGGTGCTGTCCATACTTGCCCCAGATGAACATTTGGCTAATGCCACGGCGTGCTGTTCTTTCTCTTTCTGCTTAACAATGGCTTCGCAACCCAGCCATTCACTCATAGTCTGTTCATAGCACGCTCGCATCTGCTCATCCACCTGCAGAAAATCAGATGTTTTAGAGACGGCAGCATGCAGAAAGAAGCGATTATCTTACAACGAACGCCGGAAGATAGCAAAAAGGAAAGCTTTGATTCACAAACCATCTGAAATCCAATTAACCCTGCTTTGGAAAGAAGCGGACTGAAAAATTAAACGCTTGTCACATTTGTCAGAACTAAGATAAGGCAAGTAATTGGATGTTGTGTTGGCTGGCATATTTCAGGGAAATCAATTGGAAGTTTGTAGAGAGCAAGAACTTCAAAAGATAGTTCACCCCAAACTGTAAACCCTGTCATCATTTATTCACTATTTACTTGGTTTTAAACCTGTTTGAAATTCTTCTGTTCTGTTGAACACAAAAGAAGATATTTTGAAGAAAGCTGGGACCCTGTAACCATTGACTTCCCTAGTATGTGTTTTTTTACTATAAAAAAAGGAAATTGGTTAGAGCCTGTACAGGTTTTCATCTCTCTTCAAGATATCTCTTCAATGTTCAACAGAATAAAAGAAACCCATAAAGGTTTGGGACCACTTAAGGTGGGTGAATAGTGAGTAAGTTTTCTTTTTTGGTCAAACTTTACTTTTAACATGGCCAAAATATTAAAATCCGTACAAATGCACAGATGTGTTCTGGCTTACTTGCCTACATCAGGGTGTCAATTGGAGTTTACACAATCAATATGTCACGATTACCTAATTAGATCTTCGAACAGTAAATAAAAATACAATATAAACCCAACAATTTCAAAATAATAAAATCACAACATGGAAGCAATACTGCATAAATCTAAAATTCAAAATATGCAATTTTTTGTTTAACTTTTGAATTCTTAACTATATTATACTATATAGTACATACTAGTAATGCGCTACTGTAACATTACTTTTGACAGTAACTAATACTGTAACACATTACTTTTTAAATATATGAATAATAATAATAATAATACTAATAATAATTCCTTACATTTGTATAGCGCTTTTCTGGACACTCAAAGCACTTTACACATTGGAGCAATCTCCTCATCCACCACCAGTGTGTGAAGCATCCACCTGGATGACGCGATGGCAGCCATATTGCGCCAGACCACACACCACACACCAGCTGATTGGTGGAGAAGAGATAGATTAATGAAGCTAACTGTGATATGGGGATGGTTAGGAGGCCATGATGGACAAAGAGTCTCTTTCCTAAGATTTTTAACAACCACAGAGTCAGGTCACAGTCTCATCTGAAAGACGGTGCTCACTGAGGAGTATAGAGTCCCTGTCACAATACTGGCGTGTTAGGACCCACACAGACCGCAGGTTGGGCACCCCCTGCTGGTCTCACTAACACTACTTGTGGCAGCAACCCAGCTTTTCCATGTGGTCTCGCATCCAGGTACTGACTGGGGCCAGCTCTGCTTAGCTTCAGTGGGTGACCATTAACTTCGTAATTAACTCCTTTACCGCTAAAATATGATCCGTTTGTCCGTTATTTGGTTAATTAATTAATTTTGGCTGCAGTCTGGCCTACATCTTCCAGTTTATAGCGGCAGCATATTGTGGGATTGATGGATGCCAACCAATTACCGTTAAGAAAATGCATCATGTACGAGGCACCAGTCTGGACAAAAGTCAAGCGAAAGCAGAGAGGCAGAATGCACTTGAGGTACACCAAGTGTATGCGTGAGAGAGACAGAGTGCGCCCGTGAGAGACCGAGTGCATGCAAGAGAGGCCAAGTGTGCACGCAAGAGAGACCCAATGAGTGTGAGGTAGACCGAGTGTGCGGGCGAGAGATACCGAGAGACTATTAACGTTACTATTATTAAATACTACTACTTATACGACTATGTCTAAAATAAATAAGCGCACATTTGTTATCTGTATAACAAAAGTGATTAGTTTAATAGACACAATGACACATTTCTGTTAGAATTCAGAATCCGTTATTTAAATGTATAGTGTTGTATTGCTCAGAAAAATGCTGTGCTTTTTTTTTATATAGTTTTACATATTTTTATAGCTGTATACAACAACAACAGATAGCAAATTTTGGTGTCAAGTTTTACCAAAATAGATTTTGAATGAAAATTCAGATTGTTTGCTTTTATTTATTTCATAAAGGTTTTGTGTTTGTTGTATATTGTTGCGAGATTTCATACTCAAGCTGTGAAGGAACGTTTAAAGGTTAAATACAACTTTTATGATGCTGACTCAACTTTAGTTTTTGCTTTATATATATATATATATATATATTTTTATATATATTATTCAGCTGCTTTATCACCTTGTGATATTTTTTTTTGTGTGCTGCTGGTTTGATTAAATAGTGTTTAAAAATGACTTTTTGCATAAAGCTGTGGTCATACTAAACTTTTCTTCCCATAGACTTCCATTCATACGCGTGTGAATGCGTCAGACCGGAAATGCAAGGTTGTGCGACAAGTTTCATCATTCTCTGCGTTGAAAAGTTCATGCTTGGTGAATTCTAACCTGCAAAATTGCCTCACATGATAGTGTGAGACCAATCGAAGATCAAAACATGGATAGAAATTTTAAACATGGACCAATCGCTCGCTTTTTTCAATGTCTAATCATCTTGTTTAATTCTGCCCCTTTTTGCAGCACCATACAACAGAATTTTGCATGCTCAAACTCTAATGTGAGTTTGATGAACAAACCATCATCATACAATAACTTCCCTAATTACCCTATTCTGCCTAGATAACCTAATTAAGCCTTTACATGTCACTTTAAGCTGTATAGAATTGCCTTGAAAAATATAGTCAAATATAATTTACTGTCATCATGGCAAAGACAAAATAAATCAGTTATTTTAAATGAGTTATTAAAACTATTATGTTTAGAAATGTGTTGAAAAAAAAATCTTCCCTCTGTTAAACAGAAATTGGGGAAAAAATAAACAGGGGCTTTAATAATTCTGAATTCAACTGATTTCACACACACGCACGCACGCACGCACGCACGCGCACGCGCACACACACACACACACACACACACACACACACACACACACACACACACACAAATGTTTTAATCATTATCTTTGATTTACTGTTTGGAGATTTTATTAGGTAATCATGTCATGTGACATATTGATTGTTTATGTGATGCATTGATTGTGTCTGTACACTGATGCACTTATCAAAGCAAGTAAGCCGTAAGGCTTCTGTGCATGTGTGCTGTTTTAATATGTTTGTGTTTACACACATTATGCTAATAAAGGCTTTTTAACTTCATTCATTAATTTTATTTACGGCTTAGTCCCTTTATTAATCTGGGGTCACCACAGCGCAATGAACCACCAACTTATCCAGCATATGTTTTACGCAGCGAATGCTCTTCCAGCTGCAACCCATCTCTGGGGAACACACATACACTCTTTCTTTCACACACATACATTAAGGACAATTTTAGCTTACCCAATTCACCTGTACCGCATGTCTTTGGACTTGTGGGGGAAACCGGAGCACCTGGAGGAAACCCACGCGAACGCGGGGAGAACATACAAACACAGAAATGCCAACTGACCCAGCCGAGGCTCAAACCAGCGACCTTCATGCTGTGAGGCAACAGCACTACCTACTGCTCTACTTTGCCTGGCCTTTAACTTTCTCAACAATTTTTTGAGTACCTTGAGTTGATCATTAGCTTGCTGAATTAAAAGAATTACGCATCCAAAGAGCACAAATACAGAGCTAACCCTTTAGTTTCTTCTATATGTTTTTTGGAAGTTACTATGGTTTTATTACTTAAAGGAACAGTTTTAATAATAAAAAACAAAACTTACCTCTTTTCTCTCAGTCTCCGACATTCCAAACTGGTAATGACCCAACAGGAAGGGCCAAACCTCTTTCCGTAAAGAAGGCTCAACTCCACCGAAATAAACTAGCCGCAGCAACTCCTTTTCTTCATAGGTCTGCCAAAAAAAGCAAGTACACAATGACTCTAAAACAAGTCAAATCCCTTAAAAGAACAAAACACAGTCTTTCAATGTATCACCATGCAAATTTGTCCACTCAATCAAATCAATATGCACTATACAGGTTTTAGTCAATTAGTCAATGGCCAATATATGCACACTAAGGATCACAACCATAAGGCTGCGTCTGTATGGATTTTACATTGATTTGCATGCTTTAGCGCCGTCACTCTGGCACTCAGGCTCTCAGCATTAGTCACCCAAACATATTGTTTATGTGATGAGAATGAGAGAACCGCGATTAGGGACAAATGAATATTAATGAGTGTCTGGAAAAGACGCTCATTTAAATGAGGCTTCTCTGGACTCCAGGCGGGTTAGTGTGTGTGTGTTTGTGTGCACTTACACTGCAGTCTTGAAGAAACTTCTGCCACACTTCAGTTGTGAGGCCACTATAGGCATCACTGGGCACATCTGGCTCCACAATAGTGTGATTGACCAGCCCAGACAGGTGAGTGCGAACCGTGGACAGGTGACGACAGTACGCCAGCCCTGAAAAAGCAAAATATGCTTGTGGTTGATTGAATGAGAGAGACATCTGAGTATGTGAAGGTCATCTTTGATTCAAATAAGTCGGTGTTTTGAGGCTGTAAATGTCAGAGTAATAAATACGAACATCCGTAGAAAGCCCGGGAGATGATTTGGTTCTTCATATTGTCACACAGCAACTTCAGAGGGGTCCTGCAGAAGAGATGTTTTTTTTTTAATAAATATTTAACTGCTATAATTTAATCTAGGTGTATGTTTTATACATGCATATTTACTTTTGCACAGAATATTTAATCAATTAATAGTAACACAGACATTTGAATGTGTCCTGTTTGTTATTATTTTGCACTCCTTGCCACCATGTGCCTTTAAGTGTATAAGTATTGTTTCCAATTTTTATTTTTACTTATATTTTTATATTATATTAAATTAGCTGGAAACCGCAAATAAATAATGTCAAAGTTAGTAAAAACTGTGGAAATAGTGTATAAAGCAAGATTTATCTTGGACAATAAATGTTATATATATAAAAAATCATATATAATATATAACAATGTGTATATTATATATATTAATAATATATTATATTAAAATTAACATATATTTACACTCTTATGTTGCCATATATAAGTAATTGCGTTAAAATTTGTGGGAATAAAATCTAATTTTTATGACAACAAAAATTGTCTGTATGTGTTGTGAAATTATGAAACAGTCTAGAACAGATTCTCAAACCATGTCAGGATATTAATCAATTTAAAAAGTTGTATAAATATATTTTATTAAAGGAATATAATTATGAATAGAGGTGATTGAAAAAGGATAAAATGAGAAAGATATGATGAAATTTCAATGAATGGCTGTTTGCAATACTATGCATTTTTTGGGCCTATGTTATAAAATGTAAATGTACACATGGAATCAAACATGTAATATGTCAAACATGCCAAAAAGATAAAATAGGTCTCGAGTAAAAAGAAGAAATAAGGTGAAGTAATAGATGAAGGATGTGTGTGGTAATGGAGTGGGGAAAATAATAAGCTTGTGCTTCATCCTGCTCCATTCCAACCATGTTGAATATTTTTTTTCTGTAAATTGTTTTTTTTAAGTATGATCTTTCTGTTCGAAATAAATAAACCAAATCAAATCCAATGGGTAATTGTATTTATCAAATTTAATTTTTAAATTTAACTTTTTGTATTATTATTATCTGTTATGCACCTAAAGTCTGAGAGTATATCAAACTAATCTATGACAAAAAATCATTTGATGAAAAAATGATCACAGTCCTAAAATATTCATTTATTTATTTTATTTATTCATTCATTTTAAACAAATACTAAATCATTTTAAATCAGTGACACTTTACAATAAGGTTGTGTTAGTTAATGCTAGATAATGCATTTACTAACATGAACAAACAATGAACAATATATTTATTACAGTATTATTTCTTGTGTGTTAATGTTAGTTAATGAAGATAAAGTTGTTCATTGTTAGTTCACGGTTATTTCATGGTGCATTAACTAATGTTAACAAGCATGAATTTGAAATTTAACAATGAATTAGTAAATGCTAAACTGTGATTGGTAAATGTTATAAAAGTATTTTTCTTAATTAGTTCATGTTAGTAAATATACCCTAAGACAACAACAACAACAACAACAACAACAATTGCCAGAATAAGTATGTTGTTTAATTTCATCAAATGATCAGTTATAATGATGGAGCATTTTCACCTTTTTGTTTCACATTTTTTCACAGAAGTCATTTGAAACAATGAAATAAACTTCACTTTTATATGGCTTTTAAACTGTATATAAAATGTGTTCTACTTTTTAAAATTTGAAATAAAAATCACAATGTGACTTATCATTTTTAAACAATAAACAAGGCATGCAGAGTATGTCTCTTGGGTTCAATAGAGTCAAATATTATGTTGTACCTTTCATGGTTGCATCCATTGGGCTGTGCTCCATCAGAGAAACTATTCTGCGAGCAGGAAGAGCACGATGATTTCCTTGGTGTCGGGTGCCACATGTTTGCTCCCTGATCTATCAATTCAGGTGCCACTACCACACAAAAACATATACATAGATCTGATTACTTGACATTTACAAAAAAAAAAGTTCTTATGTAGCCAGAAGCAGAGCAACATGAACCCACAATTAGACCCAACTACACAACACAACCCATATAGAAATCTGATACAGTGAAATAATTAAATATGACACGCAGGTTTCATATTTGGATTTCACGTATATAAAGTACGTATCATATATGCAACATGTATTTCAAAATATTGCAAAAATGGCTACTTAGTGCTTGCATATAATTTTTTCAACCACTGAAATTACAAATTTGTACATACACTCACGGCCACTTTATTAGGTACACTTGTCCAACTGCTCGTTAGTGCAAAGTTCTAATCAGCCAATTACATGGCAGCAACTCAAATGCCTTTTTGATGCCAGAAAACTGAAAGAAAGGCAACAGTAACTCAAATAACCACTCATTATAACAAGATATGCAGAAGACCAACTCTGAAAGCACAAGTTTGAGGCGGATGGGCTACAGCAGCAGAAGACCACACTGTCTTCCACTACTGTCAGCCAAGAACAGGAGACTGAGGCTACAATTCACACAAGCTCACCAAAATTGGACAATATAAGATAGGAAAAATGGTGCCTGGAATGATGAGTCTCGATTTCTGCTGCGACATTCTAAATTTGGGTCAACAATATGAAAGCATGGATCCATCCTGCCTTATATTAACAGTTCAGGCTGCTGCTGGTGGTGTAATGGTGTAGGCACACTTTGGGCCCATTAGTACCAATTGAGTATCATGTCAATGACACAGCCTACCTGAGTATTGTTGCTGACCATGTCCATCTCTTTATGAGCACACTGTACCCATCTTCTGATGGCTACATCCAGCAGAATAACGTGCCATGTCATTAAGCGCAAATCAACTCAGACTGGTTTCCTGAACATGACAATTAGTTCACTGTACTCAAATGGCCTTCACAGTCAGCAGATCTCAATAAAATAGAGCGCCTTTGGGATGTGGTGGAATGAGAGATTTGCATTATCGATGTGCAGTCGACAAATCTGCAGCAACTGCGTGATGCTATCATGTCAATATGGACCAAAATCTTTGAGGAATATTTCCAGTATCTTGTTGAATCTATGCCTCGAAGGACTCAGGCAGTTCTGATGGCAAAAGGGGGTCCAACCCGGTTCCAGTAAGGTGTACCTAATAAAGTGGCCGGTGGGTGTGTATGAAACCCAAACACGAACTTGTATGGCATACACTAAATTTGCACATATTGCCATATATATGATTTATATGTGGGAAGAAAACAATGCAATTACAAAGGTCAGCATAGATTTGATAAAATACCAATGGCTTTGACACTCAAAATCTACAGGTACCCATACCAGGTCAGATTTAAAAAGACACCTGGTTACAAACACATAATAAACGACGTACATTTTAAAACCATGTAACCATTTGCCCACAATTGAACAAGGGTCACTAAATTTCACTGCAGGACGACTCCTAAACAATCAGAAAACTCACACTGGCAACTAAGTGATTGCTTGCAGGTGAAAGCCATAAAAGCAAGCATAAAGCAGCAGCAAGAAGTTGGCCCACCAGACAGACACATGAACACACAAATGAGAGGTGACAGGGAGAATTACAGCTGGGCTCAGGGGAGGATGGAGACTCTCCCGGGCTGCTGCGGTGGTGCTTTGGCATCACCAGTGTCTGGCATTTAGGAGGCCAAAGTGCCCTCGAGTTCAGAGACAGATGAGTAGAGTGGGTAATAGTCACTGTAATGAGTCAAAACAGCTCAGTAAAACCAAAAGAATGATGGTGCATACAAATGAAGAAAAGCAAAAATGGCATATAATAATATGATGGATATGAGAGGGCCTTTTTTATTTTTCCACTGATTTAATAACTATGGATGGGCATTATAACCAAAATTAGTTTTTCAAGATATATTAATGATATATTTCATGATATAGTTCTTTACATGCGTAGTTATTATAGAAAATCAACAAAAATATACTTTTTTAAAAATAAATAAACTTAAATATTTTACAAATGTAAAAAAACTTCACCTTTTTCTTCTTTCATTCGGATGTAATTAAATATAGTAGGGATGCACAATATTGGATTGTTGCTGATATTTTTAAGCTCTTTTTGGTTGAGTTGATGCTGATATCTTTTCTATTTGCATGTTTTTGAAAAGCGTTACTTCACAGGTAATGGGGTATATGCACAACTAGTGTTTTTCAGCCACCGATAAACTTCTGGTAAAAAGTCAATGTGACTTTTTAATTTCATAAGGTTCCTTTTACAACATCTATGTTGTAATGTATTTAAAATATAACCAGTTAAATAGACTTGAGCATTGATTTAGTTGTTCAAGCATAAAACAAAATAAAGAGCATGTAAATGCTAGCGCAGTCAGTACGGTGGCGCAGTGGGTATCACTATCGTCTTACAGCAAAAAGGTCGCTGATTTAAGTCCCGGCTGGGTCAGTTGGCATTTCTGTGTGGAGTTTGCATGTTCTCCCCTTTTTCGCATTGGGTTTCCTCCAGGGTCTCCAGTTTCTCCCACAGTCCCCCACAGGTGAACTGAATAAGCTTAATTAGACGTGGTGTATAAGTGTGAATCCAAGGGTGTTTAGGTGTTTCCCAGTGATGGGTTGCAGCTGGAAGGGCACCCGCTGCATGAAACATATGCTGGATAAGTTGGCAGCTCATTCCGCTGTGAGGACCCCTGATTAATAAAAGGACTAAGCCGCAAAGAAATTGAATGATTAAATTTTGAAGACATTCAAAGTCTGAGTGAGTCTGAGACTCACTTTATATTGTAAATCAGTCAGGCAGTGAAGATAGCTGATTTTATTAAAAATCAGATCCTAAACATGGTGATTTTGTAATGGAGCGACAGAGGTCTGCACCCGACCAGATTTCTTGCAGCGCGGGAATACATTTCCGAATAAAGCGCGGGAGCGGTCGATAACTGGTGTAGTTTGAACAGGAGCGTGCAGTCTAACAATATTGCTCCCAACTCCCGAGCGAGTGAGCACGCGCATGTGTGTGAATGAGAGAGCGTGATGGTGTGTTTAGCTTGATTGTTGCTCTCTATGTGTGTGTATGTGTGTGAATGAGAGAGAGAGAGCTTGGTGCTGTCTCTGTGTGTGTGTGTTTGTGTTGGTGTGTGTGTAAATGAGAGAGAGAGCTTGGTGCTGTTTATGTGTGTGAATGAGAGACAGCGTGATGCTGTCTGTCTGTGTGTGTGTGTTTATACAGACAGCTTGTTATAGGCTGTCTGGACTCTGTATCGCTGGGAGGTTTTCGGTCTAAAACCTGACGGGAGCGGGATTTAAAATTTAGTCCTGCGCAGATCTCTAACTGGAAGTGCTTGAGCTGGCTGACTGAAAATTAAATGTCTGTATGCATACACCCCATTTACAGAATCAGGTTTGAAATTTTTATTTCCCATAAGTCTTTACTTCTAACATTAAATGAAAATCAAACTTGTTGTTTTATGACTCCAACTGATGCTTTATTCTTAGAAAAAAAAATTTAATTTTAAAATTTTTTTAAATCAACCTGGTTCATCTTTAACACAGTAGCTCCAGAATAAAATTCTCATAGGGTGGGCATTAGGACCCAGCAGGAGGCTGCTTGGGAGTGATATTTTAAGAAAAAGGATTACTAAAAAAGATACTGAATTAAGTTTAGTCTTGATCTTCAGTCTTAGTCTTGTTTGATATATCGGTCAGAATATAGAAAAAAGACTTATAGACTGTGACACCAATGCTACAGTCAATAAGCCAATCTTTTGTCCTATATTCTGATCAATAAATCAAACAAGACTAAGCATTTTATGACACAACTTGATTTTATTTGTGTATTTTACTTTTGTTTTCCCAGTCTAATGTGAATCTAGTCATGTTACCAGGCAGGCATTAGGACCTGAGGGTGGCTGTATCGCTACACAATATTGAACATCAAGTTATTCTGTACACACATTGGCAGTGATGTTGATAATCCAAAACAGGCAGTTTAAAATAGCCAGTAAAATTTCAACTCATATTGTTGACCAGTTCTTAGTACAAGTGCTCAAGTCATTGCTTGCTCTTGCTCTGACCCATGCACTTATGTTAGCCACACCCACTTATTTACATATAATGGTTGACTATTTATTGTGATACATACCATCATACCGCCCAGCTCTAATAGTGACATATGCAATACTGATGCCATGTCCAAGCCTCTACTTGTGTGAATTAAGAAAACTTTTAACATCTAGTCATATCACACATTAAAGCAAATCTTCTACACAGCCATTCACTATAGCCACTACAAGACCTGCCGCATCCCACACACCAATATTTGAATGGTTTTTAAAAGATGAATCGCAGTCTGACCATCTGACCAGTAGACACTGATATTAACGTTACAATCACGAATTTTAATAGAATTACTGCACAGTGTGAGTGTGTATCAATACCATTTGTTGTTAGCTTTTGGCATCTAATAGAGCTTCTGGACTGCGATGCGAGCAGATTGGCTCAAAAACAGATTTAGTCACTTACCAAATTCTGACTGGCTGTTTGGGAAAACAATGCGGAAGACATAATCTGTCGCTTCTTCCTCTTCTTTGTCCGAGACTGACTCTGACGATCCTTGAGGACATCTCTTTTTTAGCTTAGGAAATACTTTACCCTAGAAAAATCAAGAGTGAAGCATGGGTTCGAGAAATAATGACTGTGCAAACAAGCAAAACGCAATCTAGAACATAATTAGGCGCAAGTAATGGCCAATTATTTACGCCGTTCGCACACAAAATGAATTGTAATTGACAGATTAATCAATCAAGCCCTACAAATTACACTACAGCGAGGGACTGTAATTCATCTAAATAATACGCGAACAATTCATTTAGCATCTCAAATGTAAGTAGGCAATGTAGGTCTGCGTGAGGGGAATGAGAGCTTGGAAAAAACCTACAGAAATATTAGTGCAGTGTTTCTCAAGGACCTAGCTACTGGCTCTGAACATTTTCCAAGTCTCCTTAACCAAACACACCTGATTTAGATCATCAGCTCATTAGAGACTTAAAGACCTATAATGGGTGTGACAGACAAAGGAGACATCCAAAACAAGCAGTGTTGGTGGTCCTCCAGGAATGTGGTTGAGAAACACTGTAGAATACTAGTTTAAAATGCTAGAAAGTTTGTGGATGGATCAAATAAGATCAAAATATAGTGAGATAATAGAAATATTTAACATTTATAATATACATGTTTAATAAATGCTACATATCCTAATGGAAAATACAAATGTCCCAATTCATATTTGTATGTATAGACCTTTTTCTTCGCCCCAGCGCTAAACGGCTTCCAGTTGGATGCTTTAAGCTTCTGTTTAGAATTGTCATCAGCTAGATCAGTGTTTCTCAACCATGTTCCTTGAGGACCACCAATATTGCATGTTTTGGATGTCTCCCTTGTCTGTCACACCCATTACAGTTCCTCCAGTCTCTGCTAATGAGCTGATGATCTAAATCAGGTGCACTTGGTAAAAAAGACAAGGGCTATTTCTCAGTATGCGTTCTTCAGTGATCGTGTGTCCTTGTGTTCTCGTGTAACGTCATCATCAACTGCCAAAGTTCAGTTCCAAACCTCAAATCGCAAGAACGGAGGATACGTGAAAGTTCCCAGATGTGTTCTTGATATCGAGGATGCACCGATGCAGAGCAAAATTCGCTCGAAAAAGTCCCATAGGTCATTGCAGCTGAGGTGGGAAGTGCAGCATTTTATATAGACCTATTTTTAAAGTTTAGAGATAAAACTTATTTGTGTATATATTTATGTGTGTGTTTTTAAACAATAAAAATCATTCTAAAATTAAAAAGCATTCTAAAAATAATAATAAATAATATTCTTTATAAAAATTTTTGTTATTGGCCACACCATTTAAGTTTAACTTTTTGTTTCATCAGTTTAATTGTATAACAGTTTAATAGTAACTTAAGTCATATTTAATAGGTTTATACTTGTACCTCAATGTCGGGACAGATCCACACACAGCCGCTAGATGGCGCCACTAACTCGGTTAGTTCTCGTGTCCAAAAAAATATATCTTTCCTTGTAACTTAGTCGTCTCTTTATTCCAACGTGATAAATAAACTGCTAGTTAGTCAACAATTCAAACAGTAAAGTTCATTTCCAAAACTCAAGACCTTAAAGTAAACGTTACTATAAACTTAAAGTAAAAATTACTATGAACACGTTTATAAAGGAATAAACACAATAAGGGTGTATATTTGCTAAAAATCGTTTTAAAATTTGTTTTATTTGTATTGTGCAATAAATATTTGTAAGGTCTTTATGCATAGAATATATAGTGAAAAGGGTAAAAACAATAAATTGTTGTATGAATGCTGTAATGTTTAAATAATTTCCAGTTTAAAAAATGTGTAAAGGTCATGTGACCATCAGGAAGAACGCAGCATCTCATTTCTCACAGGACGCGTTCTCTGCTCTCGTGGTTTTCCGAGTTAGTTCTTCAGAGGTAACTTGGCAAGATCGATCTCCACGAGAACACAAGTCCGTTCTCTGCTTTCTTGGAATTGAGAAACAACCACAAAAAAATGTGCAGAGCTGGTGATCCTCCATTAACGTGGCTGAGAAACACTGAGCTAGAGCAGCGTTTTTCTTAGCTGGTGGCTCTTCGATCTGTTCGAAAACGTTCATGTCAGCTGTTATACTGTGCTCAGCGGGCTCATCAAGTGCATGCAGATAGCACACACAATACATCACTGCATTATAAACAGCAAACAATAGCCCCTTTCACACATACAAACTTTTCCGTAAAATTTATCCGGAAAGGTATTGTGTTTGAATAGGCTTTTTTTGAAAGTAGCGGTAAATTCGTTCTGGCAATTTTCTGGAAAGAGAAAGTGTAACATTCTATATATATATTTGCTGGAAAGCTGCGCTGTGTGAACACAGAACGAAAATTGCCGGAAAGAGCGTGTCCATGTCTTGAATGCGCTGACGTAAGACGTCTACTCCAGCCAATTAGAACATTCAGATGCATTCACATCCACGCTGTTTATGAAAATAAATCACTTTGAATATTTTTCCAGACACATTTAGCTGTTAGATGTTAGTCAGATAACGTTTCTATGTTCTTTCTTAACGCCAACTGCCTAAAAAAGATTGATAAAATGTTTATAATAAACCGCTGTTTGTTTACCTTCAACCTCTGCTTTAGTTGCTTGATGCGTGTGCATTTGAAGCAGAGGTGAGTGCCAGCACATACATATTATGTGCATCTCGACATGCGAAAGTGTTTCTCCATATATTTTCAATGAAGTTGTTTACAATATTTATCCATCCACAACATTTGTAATGTAGTCATATGTGTAAACATTTAGCACCAGTTTGTGCTTCTGCTTTTGGGACAAAGAAGCTGCATGAATGCTAATGCTTTAAATAAAATTGAAACCATCAATAAAAGCCTGACCTCTTTTATGTTTATAAATACAAGCGCATTTTTTTTTTATCTTAGTCCCTTTATTAATCAGGGCTCGCCACAGCGGAATGAACCACCAACTTGTACAGCAAATGTTTTAAACAATTTCTGACTAGTAATGTTTTAGCGATTAATTTTTCACCTTTCCTCTTTGGGACCACAGTGGTGGGTCTAATTGGCCGTGAGGCAGCAGACCATTTTCCAGACAGGAGAGGAACTGAAGAAGATGACCACCACGAGGAAAACGCAGCGGAGGTCTCTGAATCCCATCCTGACTAACCAGAACCACTGTTCCCCCACAGTCCACTTCAGACAAAAACACATACACCATACAATTATTATTCATCACTATATTTACTGTATGCAGGACTAGTAATGAATTGTGTCCATGATCACACATGCTGCATTTCCATTACCCTTCAAAATGAGCAAACTTAAACTGCAATTTGGAAAATAAATGATTCGCTACACTAAAATGTAAACAGCATCTACAGGTCACCTGGGGGCGTATTACAGAAAGATACTAACTTTAAAATCTTATCATATCCATTTGGTAACCCTGGTAATTTCAGCTAGGACAAGACTTAGCTAATTTTTAGGTCTTAAAAGTCTTAAATGACCTGAAATATTGTGTTTTAGGTCTTAAATTTATTTAAACTGGTCTAATTTTGTTTTGCCCAAGTAAACTACTCAATCGGGTCGACATCCATCCAATCACCAACAATGCATCTACAACAAAACCTTGTTTTTTATATTTAAGTTTTTTTATTGCAAAGATACAATTCGCCACAGCTTAGACACTTTTACAGCCAAATCCCCAAATGAAATTCTCTAATCAGGAAAAGAAAACTAAAAATAATTATACGATAATTATACGGTGTGTAGGAACAGCTGATGGTGGCCATAGCAACGACAAACGGCAGTGGATCGCAAGCTCACAAATGCATTTAAATCTGTAAACAAAGCAGCACACGTCACGTTTTTTAACGTAGTTTTAGACGTGATATGAGAATACAAAAAGTTAACCAGATACACTACAAGCAGTTACAAGTAACAAAACACAATTAAATACATAATTTGAAAGCTAGAGAAAACAAGGAGGCAGCCATTTTAATCGCTCTAACTTACACTTGTGAAATGGAGGAAGAAACTGATCCATGAACTGTGTACTGTAAAGTTCCTGTCAAGCTCTAACAAAGTCTCATACATCAATAGTGTTTCTGATCCTTTCTTTAACAAATGGCTGACAAATCCCCCATTGTAAGCGTGTAGTTTGGTGAGGCACTCGTCAGAAAAATGACGGGAACACAGCACAAGGCTGGGGACATAATGCTGAGGAATTTTTGCAAAAAAATGTTAAAACTTTAATCACTGCCTCTTCACAGCCTCATCTTTGGGTAGAGAAAGTAACACTAACTTTCACTCACACTTCAGAGCACAGCGTCATCATGACATGATTAGACAACGATTTGCCACAGTGTTTTTCTTACTCTTTTTCTTTCTACAGTGTTTGTGGGCGGGGCCAGGGGGTTAAATTTTCCCTGGTCTGCACGCGCAACAAATAGCTTGAGTTCCGTATCGACATGACACTGACAAGGCTAAAGTGGTGATTCTCTTGAACAACTATGAGTCGACTTTTTTATAGATGAATCAATAGTCTTAAACAAGGTGCACTTTCAGATTTAAGCCTTTGCTGGATATTTCCGAAACGAAAAAAAAAAGAACAACAACTTATAATTGTGCTGTAATTTCAAGTGGTGTTGCATTTATTGATGATTGAAAATGAAGTCTCTTGAAGATCCCTGAAGATATTAAATTTTCATGACAAATCACAAGTAAATAACGATAGATATTGATATAGAATCCATAGAAAGGATATATGATTTTTTGTGGATAATTTAAAACATTATATCTCAAGTTAAGACCTAAGATAAGAAACGTTCTGTAATACTCCCCTGGAGTACATAAATATCCCATGATCATTCTATAAAGACTGTGTGTTAATTTGTGGAATTTAGCTCCCTTGATGCATCCATTGATGTCACCCCCACCCCCATAGTCCAAAATAAATGTGCATTTTTTTAGATAACAAATTTTACATTGGTTTTCTACAACATATTTGAGTAAGGGACATCATTTATGTTATATTAAGCCACACAGGTCTAAATACCTGTAGTTTATTTTAAAGGTTTTTTTTTACACCCTAGGGAGCATAGTATAATACTTAAAATAATTGTGCTGAAACTTTATAGACACATTATTGGGGTATCTAAGAGTTATGATACACCTTATAAAAAATGATAATATAACCCAGGGCTCGAAATTAACTTTTTTATTTGGTAGCACCGGTGCTCCCAACTTCAAAAATTTAGGAGCACCAAAAAAAATTTAGGAGCACCCACCAAAAATGATTGAGCACCGCTGCAAATTGTATTTTAAGGGACATATTGTATTTTAAAACAACATCAATTAGGACTAACAAAAACCAGAAACAACTATAATTAATGCTGAGATGACATTGATATTTGTGTGCAATATTTCCAAAATGTGTATGTCTAATAATTCTAGAATATTAATGATGATGAAAATGACAATAATAGTAACAATGAATTACATTTCTCATCATCATGCTGCCTTGAATGTGCATGAATGTAGGTTATCTGTTATAAAAAGTCTGTTACTTTCTGAAAAATAAATGTATAGTTTGCATCAAACAAAAATGAAGCATTGCAGTAAGAAATATTTATTTTGTACTGCTAAACAGCATATATATGCATGTCAGTTTAATAAATAATATTTCAGCTGCAAAACAAACAAAAGATTATAATAAAATACTAAATTCAAGGCTGAAAGCTGCAAAACAGTCATCAGTAACTAAATAAAAAAAAAAAATATATATATATATATATATATATATATATATATATATATATATATATATATATATATATATATACACCTCAAGAAAGAATAGGCAAAAGAAAGTAAGTAAAGTCTCACTTCTATCACTCTTTAAAAGTTTTGGTTTCAGTTTGTGTCAATTTAAATGTTCCGTCTGAGCTGATTTTCATTTTTCTGTGTTTGTGGAAAAGCTGGCGAGTCAGCCGACCCAATTTATGAGCAGGTTGAGCATCGGCGCAATACCGCTGTTTGTTATGAGACGCAGTTTCAGTGTAAACTTAGTAAAGGCGAGGTTCTTTGGCGATGATACAGTATTAGATTTGACTTTTAGCGGACATTTGCGCTGAACACGCAGTGAATGCAACGCATCGAGATTCGACCACCTTCTCCGAAAAGCACATACTCGATTGATCTCAGCTGGCGGATCAATATTCACCACGTGTCATGATCGCTCTCATCTGCGTCTCAACTTTAGGTGGGGTTTGCACTTTGCAAACCTGTGTGCTTTAAGTTTTTACACTTTAGCCGTTTGCATTTCCCGTGGACATAAAAGCTCCCTCCCTGTCATCTAACAGTGGATAGCCTTGAGTGATTGACAGCTAATATGAACCAATATAGCGGCAGGGAAGAGCGATTCAGCACGTTTTTAAAAAAAATCAAAACAGGTCGCACTAATGCGCCCAAATATATTATGAGGTCGCATCGATTAATTTTCGGGCGCATATGCGACCAAAATGGTCGCAATTTCGAGCCCTGTAACCTGTTTAACTGTACCAAACATATGAATCATCCTAATATGTGAATTATTCCCACGACACAGCTTTTACAATAAGGAATTATTCATTGCCATTATTAGCTGAATTACATGGCTTAATAATGTGAGCAAAGCCTCACTTTAAATTGTCATCTCTCTCTAGAAGCAATTACGTTCTGAATAATTTTGCTCCTTCTTAACGGTCGGCTGATCTTGTGCCTGGATAAATATGAAAAGGGCAAAAACAATTGAGAACATTGGCTGAATATTTATGTACTGTACACCCGAGTGGATTTACAGTGCCAAAAGAGACCAGATACTGATTAATGCTGATGTTAGATATGCTTTTAACTAACTTAAACGATTCAATTTTGCACTACTTTTAACTCTGAATATTGTACAGTACAATTTCTTACTGTGTGTGTTAAATGTGTATAATTTATTTAAACTGAACTTTCAGATGTATGAACGGATACGAAAATGCAGCATGTGTGTCATTTGTCTGCCAGCTGGCTTTTTCATGTACTGGCACAATGTCACCTACCCTGCTGATGACAGTGCAAATACACAATCTCCTCCAGGCGGATGGTCATGGCATAGTCCCAGTAAACACTGCAGGAGAACACAGACTTTTAAGTGGCTTGTGACCAGCATAACTGAAAAATATAGACCTATTTAAAATTACAAATAAAACAAAAACATTTTTTCAACATTTCTAAATAATAATAAAATAAAAATCACCTAAAGAAAGAAAAGCATGCTTGTTTATAAGGGATGCTCCAATCAGGATTTTCGGAGCAGATACCGAGTACAAATTCCTTGTCATGGTGATCGGCCGATACGGACTGATTCTGATGCTTCAAGCTTTATAATGCGTAAAGCACATTTTCCGGTAAAGTATGATATTCTAAGTAAGAATGCTGCATATAATTCCTTAAACACGTGTCTTATAACCATTTAGTGTGGACACCTTATGGTCAGAAGCAGCTTTACAGAAAATAATGGATAAGAAAGATACAAAATTTGGTAAGAATAATGACTAAAAATGGAATTTGGAAAAATTACATTGATGGAAGAAGAATTCAACATGTCTCAATCAAGAAAAAGTTTGAAGTGCATATTTGTTGCATCAAAAATTAAAATGGATCTTCCTCTGCTTGTAAACCTGTAAATGAACACTTGCGATTGGTTCATGTGATCGCCCAGATTAGCGAGTAAAGATCACGTCATAAAATTTGATTATCGGCCGATACTGATCTCCAGCAGATCGATCGGAGCATCACTATTGTTTATTTTTTCAGAGTTAATACAGAGTTCATTTTTATCAAGGGTGTAAACCCGTCAGATATAAAATTATTCAAAGATCAGAATTTTTAGTAGCTTGAAAAAGTGGGATTTAAACCGATGCATTTAGTATGAAATATAAGGATGAAAGTCACTTCATTATCTCATATAAATTAACAAAATCAACATGAATAATACTAAACTATTAGTAATAAAACTGTTAAACAAATGAACATTTACTTTAATGAACGCATTATTTATCAAATAACATTGACTAGCATATTAAACAAATAGCAATAGTATTTAAAATAATATTACATTTCTATCTATCAAACATTAAACAATATACTGTAGCTTCTATTTTGTTGACAAAACTAAGTTCAACAACAGATATCAGCTGCATTTACACTGCAGATCTTGATGGTCAATTTCAATTTTGTGACTGTATCTGATTTTTTTTGATAACCGGCTTACATCATCTTTTAAAAGTGACTCAAATCCAATTGTCTGCATTTACACAGCAATGAGAAAAAAGCAATGACAGAGAGCAGGCGCTGACTGACAGCTGATAATAAAAGAGCGATAATTTCCTGTATTTAATCTGTTTGCAGGGTTAACCTTTTTTTTTAAACTCTTTTGGACAAGTTGTTTAATAATAGTTTATATATAAAAGTTTTAATTTGGCCATCTTTTTTAATCCAGGCCTTTTTAAACCAGTAGGCATTTTAATGTAATCTCCATGGTGTGATTTATGCACGTGATGTATGCAATAGTTTTATATTAGTTTGTATTGGTTACATGGTGGATAGCCTATTGCATTCTCTCTGGCTCTCTCTCTCTCTCTCATTAAAATGCTTAGATACTTGTGCTGCATGACAATATAAAAGCTGTTTTAGTCGTTGTGTATGAGATTTAAGGTTTGTGACTCTGCTGAAGTCTGTTCTGAAAAGAAAGCGTCAGTCTGACGTCATTAGCTATGGTTTTTAATGCTGCACGATTCGCATTGACAGGTAAAAATCTGATCCATCTGCTTACACTGCAGACACAAGAACACAGATCTGATTCATATTGGATAAATTTCCACATATGAACAAGGCCTGAATCTGATTTGAGGAAATCGGAATCCATGTAATTTTTTCCTGCTTACACATACAAGGGCCATATCCGATTTGTGTCACATAGAAGAAAAGAAATCTGAATTAAGTCACTTTAACCATGCAGTGTAAATGCAGCCTATTATAAATGAGATCTTATAATATCACGTGATACTGCAATTTAAAGAGATTAATAAAACACCACATGCATAATTTAAAACTCATCATATACTTTAACTGCCCCACCAAGAAAAAACATTTCTGGATCGTATTTCATAACTGCTAATGTCACTAACACACTCAGTGCATTTTTATTTCAACACGTCCAATAGTTTCTAAAATATTAGCCTCTACCAAATGACTGATATGTCAGTTTATGGTAAAAGTATGGGTATTGATACATACAATATGATAATCTGAAGTGTAAGACCAAATTATTTAAAAAAAAAAATCTAAATAAAACATTTTCGAATACTAAATCATCTTTACTTTTGAAGTATGCCATAACATATTTCAGATTCTCATTTAACATATGTTTTATTGTTGTTTTTTTTACAATTAAACCAAAATCAAGTGTAGCAGTGCAACAGGATTATGTTTGTGGTCACACTTTACAATAAGGTTCAGTAGTTAACGTTAAGTAATGCATTTACTAACATGAACAAACAATGAACAATGCATTTACTACAGTATTTATTAGTGTTAATAAACTTTAGTTGATGAAAATACAGTTGTTCACTGTTAGTTCATGTTAACTCGTGGTGCATTAACTAATGTAAACAAGCATGGACTTGAATGTTAATAATGCATTAGTAAATGTTCAATTATGATTAATAAATGCTGTACATGTGTTGTTCATGATTAGTTCATGTTAGTAAATGCATTAACTAATGAACCTTATAGTAAAGTGTTACCCTGTTTGTTGGATTTTTTTGTATTTGCTGTGTGTGAACCATTATTTAAAACATCAATTCTTTAAATGACTTTAACAGTCATTATTTAAAACAGGCAAAATATGGTCAACCATTTGGTAGAGCAATTAAAGGGTTAATAAGATTAATCTACTCATGAACAAGCCTTGTTTCCCCTTTAAAATGAGCTTATTGTGTTTATTTTTTATCTCACCTCTTCTCATAGTCAAGATCTCCCACTGAGCCGTTCATTAGCTGATTTGGTGTCCATTTCAGAGTCATGTAGTCAGCCGTCTGGTGCAGAGAGAGGTATCCTGGGACTGCTTCCATATCATCCCTCTGAAAACACCACAACAGAAGCCACGTCACAAAGCTTTAATTAACAAATAATACTGCTTATGCTTTATTGCTGCTGGATTTGTATTGATTTTTTTCTAAATTATTATTTTTTCTATAATAACAATAAAAAGCTACTTGACTTTAGAAATAGCATTCGGAAATAACCCACTGTGGTTAAAGGCAGCTGTTTAATGTATTATTTACCGGCTGCACCAGAACATTGTTCTTGCCGAACAGGAGGGTCGCTCTGGAATTCTGATGAAGAGACTCCACGTAGTCTCTGGCTGAGGGGGAGGGAGATGGCCTTTCATCCATACTGCTACTGGAGTGCCTTTTCTGAATCTGAACACACACACACACACACGTTATTGAAAAATGCATGCTATAAACCACTTTAATAAGTAAATCTTACTAATACAGGGTTAAGCCCCCTTAGCTATTTAAACTGCCTTAAAGGAAGAGTTCCCAGACAAAATGAAAATTATCTTATAATTTATTCTCCTTCATGTGTCTTGAAATCTTAATGGGGTTTTTTTTATCCGAAAAAAAGATTTTGAAAATGCTGGTTGACAGGACCCATCCATGTGTATAGTAGGAACCAAATTAATAAGGAAGTTAATAGGTGCCAGCTAGCAACTTTTTAAAAATATCTTCCTTTGTCTTTGAATCTTTGTGGGAAGGTTTTCATCTGTTAAGCACAAACGAAGATATTTTAAAAAATGCTGGGTGATGGGACCTATCTATTTCTAAAGTAGGAACTAAATTATTATGAAAGTCAATGGGTGCCAGCTAGCAACACAATTCAAAATATCTTTTGTTTTTAAATCTTTATGGCTTCTTTTTCATCTGTTAAACACAAAAGAAGATATTTTGAAAAATGCTGGTTGATGGGACCCATCCACTGCAATAGTTGGAACTAAATAATATGGAAGTCAATGGGTGCCAGTTCGCAATGTGTTTCAAAATATCTTCCTTTGTCTTTAAATCTTTAAGGTGTTTTTTCATCTGTTAAACACAAAAGAAGATATTTTTAAAAAATGCTGGGTGATGGGACACATCCACTTCTATAGTAGGAACTAAATTAATATGGAAGTCATTGGGTACCAGCTAGCAAAATTTTTAAAATATCGTTTGTTTTTGAACCTTAAGGGTTATTTTTCATCTGTTGAACACAAAAGAAGATATTTTGAAAAATGCTGGGTGATGGGAAACATCCACTTCTATAGTAGGAACTAAATTACTATGGAAGTCATTGATGCCAGCTAGCAAAATTTTTAAAATATCTTTTGTTTTTGAGCCTTAAGGGTTATTTTTCATCTGTTGAACACAAAAGAAGATATTTTGAAAAATGCTGGTTGATGGGACCCATCCACTGCTATAGTAGGAACCAAATTAATATGAAAGTCAATGGGTGCCAGCTAGCAACATTTTTCAAAATATCTTCATTTGACTTTAAATCTTTAGAGTGTTTTTACATCTGTTAAACACAAAATAAGATATTCCGATGAATGTTAGCAGCCTTCTAACCCTTCCAGTAGGCACAAAAGGCCCCTACTGGCCCATATCTATCAGCTGATAACCACTGATAATGCCTATTCAATCAAGTGATTACAAGACAATATATAGAATAAAAGTTAGAAACCCTAGCAAAACAAAGTGCATCTGTCTTGTTTTCATTGTATTAAGCCACTACATCCATCAATCCAAAGTGGAAAAATGTGTGGCCGCAGGTCAGTCATTAGTGACATGTCTCCTAATTCATTTATCAAATAGGCACTCAGCAGAAACCCTTTACTTTTACAGCTCACTGGCAGATATTTGTTAAAAAACCCCATCAGAAAACAAGCCTGGAGTGCAGTGCAGTCAGATCTGTTGCAGACGAAAAACAAGCAGTGCGTGTCCTGCTGTTATGTGGGTGTTGGCGATGGCCAGAGAGGGTGATCAGTCAGGAATCTGACGGCTGTGTTTGGTAATGGAGCTGTGTAATGATGTGAAGCGTGTCTCTTGAGTGGAGGTTCATACTCTCCTCATAAACAGCACACCACACTCAAACACACTGACCGCAGCATGACTCTTATAGACCTCAACCCTCTGTGATGGAGGAACTGCACTGATTTCAAAGACCAAAAAAAAAAACATCAATGAAAACAAGCAAATCACACCTAACTCTATGATGATCTGAAGTGCTTCTTTTATCCTCGCTCTTAAGTCGCTTTAGATGAAAGCATCTGCTGAATGAGAAAACTACAAAACGTTGCTGTGATATAGAGACTTTAGCAATATTGAATGTTGCCTTATTTAAGTAATAGTCTGTGTAAAAAAACCTGCCAAACAATGCTTAATTCACAAATAATAACAAAAATAAAAAAGGAACTGAAAGCCTTTTAGCATAATAATAAAGAACTAGTCTGGTTTTAGTATGTCACTATGTATTATGACTTTAACTGACTGACTATACAATGCTTGTGACCCCTGACATTTCCTTGAGGCAACGTTTAAAACGTCAAGTGAATTTTAAATGACCTGAACTTTCAATTTGAAATGGCACCTCTGTCTCGTTCAAATGCTTACACAGGAGAATTCCCAAATGCTAATTTGAAGTGTAAATAGACAGAAATTATCAAGCTTTTACATGATTATATCCTATTCTTGACATTTAAAAAAAAAAACATTTTAAACAGAGCATTTATTAATTCTGCCACAACCCTTAAATTTACTATCGTGCATACAGTAATCATTTTAAAGATGATTCATATGATCACCATTAACAGAATCAAATACAATCACAAATTTACTTATAGTTGTCTCTACATATACAGCAAATTCCATAGAAAAGATTATATGTAATGCCTCCATGCATCCATTTTGGGCATTTAAAACCAAATATTTAAAAAAAAGAATACTGGTTACCATGCCACAGCCATATCACCCTGCAGCCAAGACCAGTTACTCACTGAGGGCGTACTCACACTATGCTATTCGAACCGTGCCCAGGCCCGTTTCCTGGATTGTTTGAGAAGTGTGAGTGTGTGCGAGTCATGCAAATAAAAGCGAACAAAATCGCCATTCTTGATTAACTTGCACCAAATATCAACAGTTAAAACTGAATTTGCCGTGGTAGGAGAAGCTGTGTGAATCTTTTCTTCATTTAATAAATGACTTGCACCTCAGAAGGCAATCCTGACACACAGTGAATGTGCGGTGGCATTTAAAGCCGCGAGACGCAGAGCACAGACGCTCTTAGTTCTGGAGGTCATTAATAATATAATAACACTAATACTTAAATGGTAAGGCGTTTTATAATGACCAAAACAACATTTAAGATGTTTTTCAATGTGCTCAGCCTGCTGGTTTGTCCATTCGCACACAATTTTATCATCACATGATCTCTTATACTGGAATTTGTTAGGTAAAAGTGTTTCCATCGCAGTTTATGCACATTTTCAAAACTGATGTGCATCTTGGCGTTTCCATCAACCTGTTTAGCAGCATCTCCAAAATGCGCATAAAAATAGGTAGATGGAAACATAGCTAGTGAGATGAATGAGAGCGTTTCTTACAGGTGGTTTGTTAGGCCCACTAATATGAGTCTTAATGTTATTCACCTGGTGCTCTTAAAAAAAAGATGGGTTTTTGATTGTCGTTTAAAGAACATTAGTCAATCTACAGTCCGTGTGGGAATGGGAAGATCACTCCTCCAGCAGGGAACATTGAATGAAAAGGTTTTGGAAAGTGACCTATAGCCTCTCTCTCTGTGATGGTAGCATAAGGTGGCACTCTCTCCCTGACCGTAGGCTCTTGAAGAGGATGTAGATGTCAAACTCAATTCATGGAGCGCCGCAGCCCTGCACAGTTTAGCTCCAACCCTAATTAAACACACCTGATCTAACTAATTGAGTCCTTCAGGCTTGTTTGAAACCTACAGGTAAGTGTGTTGGAGCAGGGTTGGAACTAAACTGTGCTGGGCTGCGGCCCTCCTTGAGTTTGACATCCCTGATGTAGACCTTCAGAAGCAGATGGAGGTAAGAGGGTGCTAGTGGCTTCGGCCAGTAACCAATACACAAAGATAAAGAGAGGGGTTCTTGGGCTTTTTGAAAACCAAACGAGCTGCAATGTTCTGAATCATCTGTAGAGGCTTTGCTTCAGTAGAAGAGGATTGCAGTAGTCCAGCTTTGAAATGACAAGAGCCTGGACAAAAAGTTATGCAGGATGATCCGTTAATAAGGGACTGATTTTTCTAATGTTGAAGAGTGCAAACCTGCACAATCAAGTTGTGTTAACAATTTTTTTTTGAAGAACAGCTGATCATCCAGGGTCACCCCAAGATTCCTTACCGAGCTACATGGGCTAATGGTGGATGATCTCAGGTATGTGAATAAAATAAATAAATAAATCCCACATTTCAAATCTGATGTTAAACTCATTTATACAGACACTGGTCACTCACGCAGAGGGCTGGTCTCTTTGTAGGCGAGTCTTGTCGGCAGTGGCCACTATGAATACGATGCCTTTGCACCAACTCGTCAGCTGAAGGATCTGTCCAGAAATGATCTGCCGTCTTCATTTTAGTGTACTCTAACGCACAGGGGCCCACTGAAGAAATAAAGTTCAAAACTGATTATTTGAACAATGCCAGCAACACCAAAGAAAAAAACGAGAGAAAACAGTCATGTTAAAGCCCAATCAATGAAGCACATTCTAAGCAAGGGTCCTCATAGGTAATTTACTTGAAATGCCTCACACAGGCAGAAACCTTGACAACTGAAAAGAAGTTGATCATCATATTGGTAATCTATCTGATACTCTAGGATGTTGATGTACTTTTATAAACATACAGTAACGTAAAAATGTACTGTTGGTCCAAAGGCAGCTTTTATTGAAAACAAGCTTCCACTTCTTAAAGGGATAGTTCACCCAAAAATGAAAATTTACTCAACGTACTCTCCCTTAGGTAGTTTCAGTTTCTTTTTACCTCTAAACACATCAGAAGATTTTCGAAAAACATGTTGGATACTCAGTCAATGGCTAACAATTTACAGCTTTTTCTAAATATCTTCCTATGCCCATCAGAAGAAAGAAACCCAAATTGTGTTTAGAAGAATTGACAGAATTTTCATTTTTGGGTGAACGAGTAATCTTCACATTTTGCAACAATAATCTTCTCATTTTGCGCCACTTTGTTTGAATAGCAAATCCATTTGCACCATTTTGGGGACTTATGGCTGTGCGGGCTGAAAAAGAAGGTGTGTTATGGAGCATTGTTGGCGCATTGTTATTTTGAGGAACTGAAATAGACAGTGCAATTGACCAACTGAAAGCTGGTCTTAAGTCCTAAGCAGAGCACGTTAGTTATGCACCTATTCGGGTCCAAACGCAAAGGATGTACAGCAATGCACAAATATCTTTACATAAAAGTAATTAAATGATTAAAATGTTACAAAAATGATAATTTTTTACATATATATATATATATATATATATATATATATATATATATATATATATATATATATATATATATATAAACATTACCTCTATGCCTTCTTTACCTCGGGGGGCTTTTCCAGTTTATTCATGACAATTTGCATTTTGCATTGTTATTATTAGTAGTAGTATTATTTATTATATGCATTTTTTAAAAATAAAAACAAGTTTAGGTTTGTCCACCTGTTGGGTTTTGGAGATGTATGCATCATCATATGGGACATAAGAATATGAAGTGTGTTTTTTTTTACCACACTTCGTTTTTATTGTCTATTTAATCATTTGCTGGAAATTAGAACTGAATTTAGAAATAGTTTTGAAACAAATCTTTGCGCTTAACAAACAAATTTAAATATGTAGGCTAATGGATGTCTTCAGTGGAGTGAGTACAACACTGTTTCCTTACTCCACAAAAGTAAAGGTGTAAATTAAAGAGTAAAAGTAAAGAGAAAGTAAAAGAGGCCAAATGATGGAGGCTTCTTCGTTATCCTCGTGCACATAGTCTGTTTAACCGTTTTTTTCGCTAATGAAGTATTCAGTTTTCAGTAAGCACCCACTTACAAAGTCCGCCATGTAAATAACAAATGCGGCATGGCGCGATGCAACTGCTTACACGTTATGCTCAAAACACATCCATAACTAATTTAGGGTGCTTTCACACCTATACTTTTGTTTCAGAGTCTGTCTCCTTTCCCCCGTTAGCGTGGTTCGTTTGGCATATGTGTAGCAATTGCACTCGGATCCTTGCCAAATCAATCAGTACGAGATCGCCTGAATGAGGTGGACTCGGCTCAATAGAAACGAAGTCTGGAGCGGATCGAATGTAGTGAGAAACCAAAACGATCCAACAAACTAACGAACCAGGCTTTATCACAGTGTATTATGGATATGTAATAGGCATGACTATATGAAGAGTGAATTATGAGTAGGGCGGGATGTCAGTTCTACTAGTAAATGTGCGTTTTATGTCAAATAGGAAAGTGAAAGCATGCTGAACTATTAACAAGAGCTGTTTATATGTTAGGAAAATAGACTGAACAGCAGTCCTGGTTTATCTGTTCTCTCTATAATTTAAAGACTTTAATGCATAATTCTAGCCAACGGCTCTGTATGAAAAAGTCTTACCTCTGATTTATCATTGGTGTCAATATCTGTGGGTGTCACCATTCAAAATTAAACCGCAGTATTTCACTTATAATGTCTTTTTGCCCATCGTCATAATTTAAAACAAGGACGTATGACAGCTGAGCGGGACTCTGAAAAATAAACAGTGGAACACTGACCAATGCGAGGGGAGTTTACTCACACGTGACATGTTTTAACTATTTTGATCCATTTAGAAACTTTGCAGTGTGAAAATGAACCGCACCAAGAACAAAAATAAATATTGTAACAATTTTAATCCCTGTTTCGGAACAAAACAATCGATCTACAGGTGTGAAAGACCCCTAAGAGAATAAGCACAACCTTGTTAGACCATGCGCTGGGGCGCAGACCATATTTTTCCATCCTTAAAATACCAAAAGTGGATTCAGACACACGCTTAATGCTTTTGTGCCATCCACTTTAGACATCCCGCTTAGTCCATCAAAAAAGAGCTCAAAAAGTAAACTATTTCATGACACCATTAAACACTTTGTACTTTAAGAATTAGAATCATCATCAAAAAACTGGTTTACCTAGCAAAGAAGCGAGGATTGGGCCATCAACTGGGTCCATTAGGATAGCCTCTTTTTCATAAAACTTACTGAAACAACATTGAAAACAACTTTAACTTCAGATAACACAAGTTTTCAAGTCTAATTGTACCTGAAATGAACTGGACAAGTTTGCTTTCTCTTTATATATTCAATCCCACCTCTCTCACCTGCTGTTTTCCACCAGGTACAGTACAATCTTGTCCAGCACTTTCTCAATGAGTGCGGCGTGGATCCACACGTGTCTGACGGCCTGAGGAGAGAAGTTCAGGACTTTGGGCATCTTCCGGGTGCTCTCGCTGTATGAGAGGGACTGACTTCGCCTGAAGTAAAAGAACAAAGTCAAAAAGAGTCACTTAAATAATAAAAATTACAACAATAAATGTGTTTTGTCTTTTATCCCTGGTTAGGGAACTAAAACTGTAAAAGCTGCAAAAGTGACAAATGTCTACCAGTGTTGTGAATTGTATCTCTTTGCAATAAAAGCTTAAATGTAAAAAAAAATAAAATAAACAAAAAATTAATATAATAAATGAATCTCCTTTGACATGCACTGAAAAAATTGGCAGTGATTTTAATGGTAAAACTGTACAAATGCTAAAGTGAAATTATGCAACCTGGTTAACGTCGTTTCCTGACTATACAGTGTTCCCTCACTTTTTTAATTCCCTGACTTTCACTGACTAAAAACCTTAATTTCCATAACATCAGCACTGTAAAAACATCTTGCTCTCTTAAATCTTTTAGTTGAACCAAACAAATAGTTTCAGTCATCTCAACTTCATATAAAATCAATAAAACATTAATAAAATTGACTAAATATATTTCAAGAGTTCACACATAGCTGACACTTGATAATTTAAATGTGTGTTTGGAATGCTGTCCCGGGAGAAAGCCCTGAGCTCAAGAGGATCCTCGAGCTCAGGTCAGGGGAGTCTGAGTTCAGGTAGGCTTCAAGAACTCCCCTGGATAATGCTAGGAAAAAGGGGAAGGAGTCGAGTGGATGGGGGGATTCTTCAAGATGAAGATGGCTTATGAAATCTGGCTTTTTAGGTGCATTTGGATTCATCTGATTGGTATATTATGTGATTACTAATGCGGGACCAAGCATGGTCAATTATAAGCACATGATCCTCTTGACATTAGTTAAACTTTATATAACTTAAAATTAGTTGAAACAACGATAAACTTATTAAAATAAGAAACTGAAATATTTGTCGTATCTTTTTCTCATTACTGTTTTTACTGTGAAACAGGCTGCTGTTGTGCTTATATAGAAAACATAATATTACATATTACATTATAAGGCGTCACGGTGGCACTATTGCCTCACAGCAAGAAGGTTGCTGGTTCGAGCCCTGGCTGGGTCAGTTGGCATTTCTGTGTGGATGTTATCCCCATGTTCTTGTGGGTTTCCTCTGGGTGCTTCGGTTTCCCACACAAGTCCAAAGACATGCCATATAGGTGATTTGGATAAGTTAAATTGTCTGTAGTGTATGTGTGTGAACAAGAGTGTATGGGTGTTTCCCAGTGATGGGTTGCAGCTCGAAAGGCATCTGCTGTGTAAAACATATGCTGGATAAGTTGGCAATTCATTCCGCTGTGGCGACAACCGATTAATAAAGGGACTAAGCTGAAATGAAAATGAATGAATGAATGTATGTTAAAATAAAAAGCATATAATATGGTTAATAAAATGGTTTTAGATTAAATATAATTTTGCACGACTTAAATAGCTACTAAAAGAACAACAAAGTACAATTTGTGAGCTTTGATTCATTATGAATTTCTTATTATCATTATGACTTTCTCATCACCACCTGTTTTGGTGGCATTTCTTTCTGTGTATTACAAAGGTGCAATGTAGAAGTTTATCATCCTTAAAAATGTAAGTGAATTAACATTGGTAAATTAAAGAAATACTGGAGTTTAATATAATACTACAACAATAATAATAATAATAATAATAATAAAGGAAAATTTTATTTTTAATGGTAAAATTCTGCAAACCACAGCTACCATTTTTTTACAGGGTACTTCAGAACAACTGAATATAATTTTTCCATGAACAGTATTTATTGGCAAGTTGCTTTTAGTGGATCAAAGAGATGTGACTTCCTGGCTAAACAAAGGATTAATAATAAAAACGAGATGAGATGCAAACATTCAAAAAATTTGTTGCCAAATGCAAATGCATTGCAGGTTTCTAGGTTGTGTGCACAAAATAAATTTAAAATAAAATGACTATATGAATTGGGTATAGGAAATCTGCATATGAAAGTATGATCTACTGAACTGAACTGACACTGTTTCAATTCACTATTATCTTCTATGTGAATCTACTTTGACACAATCTACATTGTAAAAGCGCTATACAAATAAAGATTAACTGAATTGAATTAAATCTAAACTCACAGAATCAGTTTTCCCTTTGAAGTTAGATGTGCATCTAGCACCAAAGGATGGAAAACACACAATACCTTCCTCAGTGTGTTCACCAAAACCCTATACCCATTACATATACACCTGTTGTGTTAATTTATTTTCTCTATATCTGAATGAGTCTTAGCTGTGTGTTGTAAAGTATGGTCTGACCTGTTCTCAAAGACCAGCTCCAGTTCCTGGGCTTTTCTGCACAGCTCTTCAGCCGGAGGGAAGTTTTTGGCCACTTTGGTGAACAGCGCCGCTATTTTGTTGCTTCTTAAGAAACCAGCAGCTCTCCTCTTCAATCCATGAAGCACACAGGCTTCGACGGCAGCTACATACACATTTATGGACAGAGAAAATGGACAATATTGCATTAATGGATCATTTTCCAACAAGACCGAACACATTACACCAGTCCATCAAAGGCTTTTTGTGTATCTGAGGAACAGAAAAACAGGGATGATTGCAAAAAGTGACCACGCTTTCAAGAATCATACTTTCAACTACTCTTCCAGAAAGTAGACTACTGTTCAGACATTTGCAATATGTCTTTTTTACATTTTATTCTGCAAGGGTGCACTAAAGTAATCGAAGTGACAGTAATAACATGTATATTGTTTTGTAAAGCTGTTCTTTTTTTCATCTTTTGTTTATGATTCTGGTTCAAATAAGTGTTTTTTGAAATTTCTATTCAAAGGACTGAGGGAAAAATGCATCACCATTTATTTACAGGATAACAATGTAACGGCTTAAGTGAAAAGTTAAATAAGTGAAAGTTCCAATGAGCAGGTATTGCGATTAAAATGATTGTTTTAGAGATGTAAGCGATGAAACACCAAGCACAAATAGAAAACTTTCATGTAAACATAGATAAAAAAGTTACAGTAAACAAGTTGGATGATTCAGTATATTAGATCAGGTCAGAATAATTGTATTTTCCAGGATGGGAGTGAGGTTTAGGGGGGTGAGTGTAACAGAGGCCAGCTATCAAAGTGCTTGCAGGTCCCAGTCCTCTGACCCCAAAAGGTGCTCAAGCAACAGACACCAGAGCCCATGGTCTTTAGCCTCCTTGTTAGAGCAACCAACTCCCATACAAAGAACCGGCAGTTCGATTCCAGCTCAGACCGGTTTGGGTGCAGTAGGAGTTTTAATTTTGCAGTATTAAGTTTGATGCAGTCTACCTGCAATTTCAACTTAGATATGCTTGGCATTTATAGCAGGTTTGGCATGCTGTCCCAGGAGAGAAAGAGCTCGGAGCTCGGAGATATTTGAGCCCAGGGCTCCCGCCCGGTCTAGAAGCATATCAGAGGATCCGAGATCAGGTAGGTCTCGATCGCTCCCCCTTTAGAATGGGAGAAAAAGGAAAAGATGGGGTGGAAGGGGGGATTCTTCCAAAAAGAAGATATAAGGAATAAGGAGAAAGTTATCCATTTATATTAAGGTAGGATCAGTCTGATTGGATTATTACTGATTACGGATGAGTGGCCAGCAGTGCACAATCATATCACGTGCTCCTCTCTAAATTAGTTAATGAAACTTTACTTATATTACAAATAATGATTCAGCACACATAGTTCATGAAGTTTATTTGATTTCACTTTGTTTTATTTTTCATTTTTAGGTCATTTGAAATTAAAGTTCATTTAAACAACCTACTGTACTTATATCATGGATTTTGCCACCATAGTCCCTAATGTATGAAAACGCAGGGAATTGGAATTTTTCTGTCCCCCTCTCAATTACTCAAATCAAAGTTACAGCATTGACTGTTACTGTAGTATCTAATCTATCCATGTGTATATTTTAACCTTAGTCTTGCTGAAAAAAACAACAACAACAAACAACAAACAAAATGTTGCTATACACATCTGAGAACATACACTGGGTGTAATATAGTAAAACATGAGACTAACATAAATACTGCAAAATCATCTTGTGCATATGCAGCAAAAATTGTGTTAATTAAACAACAGGTGGTTTGCATAGCTAACTCGCGTGTGTGTAAAAAAACAACAACACCCAGAGAGAGATGGAAAACAAATACGTGGACTAAGAAACACAGCACTACGTGGCAGCGTCTGCAGAGCTGATAGTGCGGCTCCCAGGACTAATCTTGTGAATGTGCTCAGATGGGGTCGGGGGAAAGCCTGTGTAGCCATGGAAACCCTCACTGATGGAGCACTCGGTGTTCACTGAGAGCTGGGCAGGGCTCTGGAACAACATCGGCTGTTTTGTGCTCATCTCTGCCTCGTCCTGTTCTTTTCAGCCTTTTCTTCTGTGCAATGTGTCACTTTTAGTTTTTTGTCTTGATATTTAGTGTTTTCGTCTGACTCCAGCACTTTATGACACTCCCTCTCCTCCATTTATAATCTGCACAATCTCTTCTGTGCTTGTATCTGAGCGTTTCTTGTTTATCTCCTCATCTTGCCCATTATTTGTCTCCGGTGTGGCAGACTGAATGTCGGAGAGATAAACATAAGGAAAACCCATTCCAAAACCTTTAGTCGAAGTATTAAGAGAGATGCACGTTTATACAAACACAGCAGCTGCTTTCATCCGACGCTGTATTCATTGCTTCTCTTTGACCAGCCTAAATTGATTCAAGCCAAAGAAAGAGGACTAATCAAATAAGCAGGTGAAATGAATGAGCGGTGAAAGGACGGACCATCAAACGGGTTCAAAGGTCTCACAGACTTTATCTTGTGAGAGGATATTCATTTGAATCGTTCACAAGCTTCTTATTTTGTTTACTCGACAGGATGAGTTTCAGAATTTCAGAGTGCTTCTATTAAAACAAGCAGAATCATGAAAACGTTGGCCACTCACTTTTGCAAGAGCTGGTGTCCTGCAGATTTTAGCTCCAGTTTGCCTCAACACACCTGCAAGAATGTTTCTAGAAAGCCTAATAAGAGCTTGATTAGCTAGCCCAGGTGAGTCTGATTGGAACTAAACTTTGCAGGACACCAGCTCCAATGATTTTAAGGCCTCATCATTTCAGAAAGGCTTGAACACCACCACAAATAAATAAAATAAACTTACTTGGTACTTCTGTATTTCAGCTTCATCGGATTCTATCTCTGTGCTGTTTGCCTGATGTAACGCATGATAAGATGCAGGTGCACATGTGTGAACGGTAGGCAAATGAGCAGCTCAAAAAAAGACTACAAAAAACAGCAACAATGTATTCAGACAACAAGATGGGCAGATTCTGGAGGCTACATAAATAATCAAATTAGTATTTTAAGCTGAAACTTTCTGGAAACACCAAAGGCTTATCTTACATCTTGTAAAAGGGGTAAAATAGGTGCCATTTAAAGGCTTATTTATACTTCTGCGTCAAGTGCACACGTATGCTATGACGCAGCCTATGCGTTGACGCATAGCCCTACGCCGTGGCTGTCAGCGTCACTGACGTGAACCTCTCAAAAAATATGACTACACGTCGCAACGACCCGTAGCGCAAGCTCTGTGATTGGTCGGCTCAATGACGAGTCTGGGCGGGACCGAGAGCCGCTTGAGTCCGATGGAGCGATTCTTTACAAGTGTAGAGTCCCGTAAAGGAGCTCCGGATGGAAAGTTTTGTTTTGTGTTTACCTCATGGTAAAAGTTGTTGCACGTCCGCCGGTTCCTGCCTCAAAATGAGCGAGTTTGAGCCAGTTGTACATTCAGGAAGTGTTCAGAAAAAACAAAAAACCAGCAAAAAAACTCGACACGAAGAAACATTAACACTTTACTGCCAACTAGCGTTTCGGAAGTGTTATGCAAACTAACAGAAACAGCTCGCAGAAGTTTAAATGCAGAGCTACACGCATTGCTTGTGCTGTGGGTTACTCTGGTCACTTGACGAAGAAGTATAAACCAGGCTTAATACTATGAATGCTGTCATATTTTGCAAAAAACAGAACTGTAGACAGAACAAGCTTATGGTTATCCATCCATCATCCATCCAACATCTACTAAAACAACTAAAATTTAGAACTACTAATATGTAATACTATTTGGTCAGCAGATGGTCTGTACTGGTTTGAATGCATTTGAGCAATTCTAATTCTAATGCAAATGTCAACCTTGCCATGAAAAAAAGTTTTCACCAAAATACAGAAACCGTTGCTGGGTTTTTTTGTGAAGCCTTGTATTTAAAAGAACTATAGAAATAGTCAAAAATGCATCCGTCAATGTTTTCAAACTATTCTATTTTATTTACCAAAGTCACACAAGTGGCAATTTCACACCTGTCACATCCATAATGGAGAGATGTCATGTCCATAACGACACTTTTTCCTAATAAATGTGAAAATATTACAGAAAATAAAATCAATCATTTTTTACAGAGATCCGACTCTTATCCTTTTGATTATTATTTTTTCTTTTGGGTTGTGTAATTTAATTCACAGAAACTCTACAAAGTATGCAGTATGCTGTAAACCTGCAGACCTTTTTTGTCACATTCATAATGCATGTTCATTTTCCTCATTTAAAGTACAAAACATGTTTACAGATTCATATTTTTCTGGTCCCTAAACTCTGTGGTCAGTTGTTTTGGAAAATATAAACAAAAGTTCAATATAATGTTAACATATACTGTCTATGCGAATTTATGTTTTGAGTTTTTACGGCTAATGTCACACCCGGAACGCTGGAATTGCTCATTTATTTTATTTATAATGCATACTGTATGAATGCATTTCTCAACACTACATAAACAACCCAATTAAAAACATTTAAAACTACCTCTGGTCGTGGTCAAAAATAAACAAGCTAAAACGTTTTTTAACCTCGTCCACACCTGAATTTACTGTTGACCACTTACGATTGAATTGACAAAACCACATCCTAACAGGCTCTGAAGCTATCTATCTAGATGCATTATGGCCGAAATGCAAAGTAGACCTACATTTTTTTTATTCCACCTGATTCTCAATTCAGTCATTATACTGAGAGAGGGAAATGATGAATCAGTATGCAAGGTAATTGAAAGCAGCTTTATTCAAAAAAGTGAAAGGAAACATGCAAAGAGAGAGAGATGGCAAGAAAATCATATTCCAGCCAAACAAGTTTCCGAAGCAATATTCAGGGCAACAAACAAGCCTCAACCTCATTGTCACAGGAAATGGCACAGGGAGAGGGAGCCACCCCCGACCCTGATCTCAAACGCTCATTAAAAATGTAATCACATCGCTGACACTAATGGTTTCTAATCACACTGTCACAGAGCGAAACCTGGATATATATATGACACCCTCCACTCTCACTGACCAGCACTTTACTCCGCAACATAATGACGTAAAAGCGTCTGAGTGACGAACAGCATGCTTTTAAAGCCATGTGCAG